GTTGGACTATTGCAGGAAATTTTAAAGAACTCACCGTGTTAGACTCATTCAAATGTGATGGCAAACGTGAGCATGATCAAAGTAGGGGCAAAGCTCTTAAACTTGCTGAGAACTATACCTTCAAGTTGACTGACATGCTCCATGAGTGTTTCCGGGTAGCTGTGGTGGGCCAAACATCCAAAAGGATTTCACCCGTTGTCATTCGTGCCTGTCCTGCAAAAATGGCTGACTCACGATATGCCACAGCACACCCGGCCAGCCGCGAGGCTGCGCTCGAAGCCACACGTGAGGCTAACAAAGAAGCATGGTTGCTCCTTCACAATCGCATTTTGTATGCATTGGCCATGCGCAATGAAGGTGAGAATCAGGCTGCTCAGGACCTTGTGGATGGATTGATGACCGAATGGACGCCGGCTTCGGCCCTGAGGTTCTATGGTCGAGAGGATCCGCTTGCAGAATACCCACATTGAAAAGATCATGCTGCCAGAGATGCCCGTCAATGATGTAATCTGGATCTTAGTCTCTGACTCGTCATGTGCATTGATCACAGGGCGTAGGAAAACACTTAAGAAGTTTGACCTGTCCGAGCACTACCGGCAGCGCAAACCTAAGTATGTGACTGAGTTCATCCATGAGATGCTCTGGGGCAAAACTTTGCAGAAGCTGGTCAAGCGTGGGATCGAATTGGCCGCGGACGCCCGCGAGCGCTATCCTCATGCACGCATCAACCTGCACTTGTCCTGGTTCGGAAATGAATTGGTAGGAGAGGATGGAATTGCCCAAAATCCAAATTGGCCGTACGATGGTCCCAACGGGCACTGGCCCACGATCCTGGATGATTGTGAGCGCCACTTGACATGGTTCATCAACAAGGCCCGGGAGTTGGACTTGCAGACGGCCGGTCTCACGACCGCGCCCTGGAGCGCAGATTACGGCATTCATCCAATCTTCGATCAATTTTTCGACCATTTGGAGCCCCGATTCAAAGCTCTAACCAGCAGCCTGCAAGGGCGTGCCAATCCGCGGTATCCGTGGCTAAAAGCAAAGGGGTACGCCGATGCAATGGAATTCAGAGACCAGTGGCATTTCGCCAACTCTGAAGAAAATCGCACGCGCCTTGCTGCCTATTGGACAGCTACCCTTTTCGCACTTGATTCCGGATGGCGGGTCGGCCAAATTGGTTTGGAGCTTTCTGAGTGTGCCCAGGAGACATGGGATGATTTGCGGAGGAACATGAGCGCCGTCCTGGACGAGCTGCCAAGATCCTATCAGGAGACATGTGCAAACATCACCAAGTTGCTTTTTGGAGAGTCCCGAAGACACATTGTGCCGACGGGCAGGTCATTCACCAAGGAGGACGTCGAAGCTCAACAACCTGACACTGAGGACTACATCGACATCAAGACGATGCCTTCGGGCACGTTTGCTGAGCCTCCCAAAGATGACCCTCCAAAGGCCGCCGGCGACGGCGAGCCCGCTGCATCCAGCAGAGCAACAATCCTGGTCCAGACAGCTGAGGTCATGTTGAAGTCGCGGCCGAAAGCAGCACCAGCACCATCGGATGAGCCCGCAGATGACAAGGGAGCCACATCCAGCCAGTACCAGCCGCAGGCAACTGCGCGCTTAGAGGGACAAGCATCTGGCCACGTGAAAGCATATTGGATGGAAGAGCATTTGCCTGAATACCAATATACAATGGTGACCAATGCAGACGGGGACGATGTGCCCGGCATCCTCTTTGAAGGTACGGCTTATGAGCTGGAGCTGATATCGGCATCCGACGTTGAGACCATTGCCAGCCAGACTCGCGTCGACAAGAAGTTTTCTGATTTTGCAACTCGTGTCAACAAAGTTTGCAGGGGGCATGGATCCTGTGCCAAGGTGCCAATGGACAAAGACCTTTGGATTGACTTGGAGGATTTCGCCAAAGCCTTCCGCAAGGAAGTGCCCCCAGATGTTTTCATCACTGTCGCAAACCTGTTTGGCACCGCAATGAAGATCGACAAGCATGGCAAGAGTAGGTTCCAATTCTTGTGTGCAAAGATCTCCCATTTCCCTGTCGACAATGGCCTAGGCATGCCGTATTATCCTGTGAAAATCCGTGCAATTCAGGGTCACTCCGAAGCTGCCTTGAAAACCGCAGGGGGTCTTTATGCCAATTCAACCATGGTGTATTGCTCAGACCATGTATCCCCCGAGCGAAAAGCCGCCTTCACTGGCGTGCCCCTGTGTGCCATGACTGAGGTTCCTGAGGTTGTCTTCCATCGCACGATGAAAAGCAGCTGGAAGAGCATCGCACAGAATGGCCTGATTCCAGGCGGCGGTGCAACAGTCAACAGTGGCCGTGCACATATCTACATGGCAGAACACTGTATTGGCACGCAGGGATATCGATCTGGATTAAGAGCAAAATGTCCAATCGAAGTCAAAATCGCAATGCGGCAAGCAGTTGAAGCTGGTGTCATCTTTAGTCGCACAGAAATGGATGGGATTTTGTGCTCAGAACGCATCCCACCGCAGTTTCTGGTCAGCATCTCAGAAGAAGGACAGGTGCTTTGGTCCCGCGCCGAGAGCAATCTCGAGCCCAGCTCATGGACTGGCGCGGCATCAGCCTCAGCACCGAAATCCAAAGCGGTCACCTTGACTGCCCGAGATGATGCAAATGACGACCCAATGGATGACACCAGCACGGGGCGACCCGATGCCAAGTCCACTGATGATGATGCAGCCACTGCCCCAATGCAAGTTGACCAGCCGCCCGCAAGGACGCGCCGTGTTTACATTGCACCCAAGTACTGCGAACCTTTCATGGGCTCCTGTCCCCTCTGCCAGGTTGAGTACGTCAGTGGCCAAGTGACATGCACCACATGTGGGTTTGAGCCACTCCCAGTGGACGAAAGTGGCGATACAAAAGAGGCCAACAAACCCAACAGGAGGACCCGTATCCTTGAACGGCGAATGCAAAGTCTCGCCGGGTTCGGAATGTTTGGGAAGATGAGCGGAAGCTTGCTGACAGCCTTGACGGAAGAGCAAGCCAACCTGCTACGCCGAGAACTGGGCCCCAGGGGAATCACATCCGTGGAATCAGCAGTCCTCAAAGACTGCCGCGACAGGCATCGACGTGCAAAAGCGCTGGGCTACGAGGACGTGGAAGACAGATACTCCAGCGACGTCACCTTTTGCGACCGCATCCACGGTGAGGGGAAGGACCTGCAGGACTGCATATTCGACGATATGTTCGCATATGGCAACCTCCCCGATCCCCCAAGGACCAAAGCTCAGATCTCGGCTGGCGTCGCCGCCAATGCCCAAAATGAGAACTGCTTATCTAAGTTGATTTTCATGTCTCAGCCTCGTGGCGTTGATGGCTTCCCAGTTGAGTTCCGCAAAACATGGAAGAAGGTCTGGGGTTTCATGTTTGGCCGCCACATTTTTACAGAGGATGAATATGTCAGCTACATCGGCCGTCGTGGCGCATTCCGTGGCCTGTTGACCTGGAAGGGTACTGTCCAAGTCCCTTTTGATGGCACTCGTGATTTCCTCGAAAAGGTGTATGAGGAAAACCTTCCCTTGGTTCGGAGCAATCTTGAACGCAAAGAGAAGCAGAGCGCCGCTGCAAAGGCTGGAGGTCCTGGAGGTCATAAGGCCGACCCCACGGTCGCGCCCACCACTGAGCGAAAGCGCAAAGCCGAAGCTGATGCATCCGCAACCGCACCAGATGTCACAGCCGCCTCAAGCTCTGCTCGCGCAGATGCCTCGCACGCTGATGCCCCAGTTGACCCCAACAACGCACCATTTCTGGTACCTGAACCACCAACATCCAAAGCAGGAGCACGACCATTCTTGGAGCCTGAGACACCGCCCACTGCAAAAGCAGCAACCGTAGGAGTCACTTCGAAGGCTGCACGCTCCGGTCGCCCGGATGCCTCTTGGAGTTGGAATCGTGATCACTATGGTGCACGCCGAGAATGGAGTTTCTGGCGTGGGGCTTGGTATTACCGTGACGAGGCCGGCGGCCGTTGGATCTTTTGGAACCGTTAGGGAGACGATGATTTTCTTTTGTAGCATAGCGCAAGATGTGGCATGGTAATGTGCCTTCCTTGCAACGCTGCGCTGGGTTTTACGGGCTTGAGCTTTTTAGAGGGACCTTTGAAAGACTGCACAAAATGTCTAAAACCAACTAAAGAAATTTGGCTACCCGCGAGGGTATGCTTTTCTGGGTTATTCGTTCTCCGCAGTCGTCCCTGCTCGCCCGAGGGGGGTGTAAAAACTCCTGCAGTAAAACCATGTATTGTATATATCATCGATCTGCCCGATAGCGTTGGTTCAAAACAGTGCCAGCAGCTTAGCGGTTACTTGCCCCCATTGTTGTTGTAACATATTGGTGGCTGACCTTGTAAAATACAGTTTGTTTGTTTGTTTGGTTGTTTGGTTGTTTGGTTGTTTGGTTGTTTGGTTGTTTGGTTGTTTGGTTGTTTGGTTGTTTGGTTGTTTGGTTGTTTGTTGTTTGTTGTTTGTTTGTTGTTTGTTTGTTGTTTGTTTGTTTGTTGTTGTTTTGTTGTTGTTTTGTTGATCTCGTTCTTGTTTCTATTGCCACTGTTGCACAAACTGCCCCTTGCACCAGCCGGGGTCGGCGAATATATATATATACACATACCGACGGGGTATTTACAGCAAAGTCTGCTGCCAAAAGAAAATAAATTCATGTTTGTTTCAGGATCTACTGCAAATACCAGCACGATACGATAGATGGAAAAGTAGGTCTGAAATCTATAATCGAGATCCGTGTTCGAGGTTTGGAACTTTCCCATCTATTCCGGTGACTATAAATATATATATATATTTATTTATTTATTTATTTATTGTACATATATACATTGGTTATATTTGGCTCAGCGACTAATGAGATGCGCAAGGTTATCCTCAGCTTTCACCCTTTGAGACCACATTCGCGGGCTGTTCACTTTTGCTGAACCAAAAGCTTTGGATGAAGACCTTGCCTTCCACAGGAAGCGTCAAGACTGGCTGCATCAATGCCATTTCTTCTACTGCCGTCTGTTGCCAGTTCTACGTGTCAAGAAGGCCAATATTTGTTGCAGTCGCTGGTCAGAGTTCAGATCGTGGAAGCATGAAAGCATGTGGTGTCATGTTCATCTCCTTGAACCACCAGATGTAAATTGATATGAAACACTTGGAGACTGGTGAATGTTGGTGAACTGCACATCACATTGTGCATGTTGCAAAGTGTGAAGGAATCGCATCAGAGAGAAATCCACTTTTTCCAAAGCTGTGCAACGAGACATCTGAGGCTACTGAGTTGAAACCGACAATAGAAACATTCGTCAGCAAGCGCTGGATGTCAGGAAGCAACGATATATTTATCTGACACTGTTCATTCGGATCAAGTATGCAAATTTTGCACTGCACCGTTTGGAGGACTGCTGTGCCCGGAAAACCGCGAGCTTTCATGCCATTCAATTTTCAACACAAAGCCTCCATATGGTCTTGGCCTTGCCAGATTTCACTTTCTGCACGTGAAGGAATGTGCGCAGCATGAGGGATCTGCGGCTTCAAAGCATTTCCGGCTTCAATTCATGTTTTTGTAGCCTGCCATTGGGCGTCGTTCTCGGTTGAGGCCACTTAGAAAGCCTGAATTGGGGGAAAATCCCATTGAGCTATGCACGATTGAAGGGGCCCCGGGTACCTTCTCGCTGTTGAAAGGTCTATCTAAGTGTGTTTAACTGCAAATGACGTGCATCGTTGCGTTCAACGTCCCACTGTAGTTTTGCAGGGAACTTGGCCAAGACAATTGTCAGACAAACTATACAAATTGAAAAAGCTGATGAACCCGGCAAATCACAGGAATGCCAAAAAATGCAGTGAGGGTGATGATAGAGGAGTAGAGAATCCAACAATAAAAAGCCACAATCCCCCAAACCTGCGTTCACTCACCTTTGCACCTGTGCATCTTCATACGCTGATTCTTTATCGCGCAACTCTGAAATGATCATGATGATAAACAACCCGCCGGGTTGTTTATCGAACCCATGTTTCAATAGGTCATGTTTGTGACCTTTTATTTGGTCCCACAAAAACCATCATTTTTTGACTGTTCATGTGAAGGCGTCACAGGTTTTTCTCGAAATTTTGGGCGCCCATGTTTACTCAATTCTACAAAACCACAGCGGCGGCCACTTTTTTCTTCACGTTTTGTTCTTCACGAAAGTGGCAGCCGTGAGCTGGCTCAATCGTGGCAAGTTAAGTTTTCCCAACGCCACTGCCAATATATAGATATCCCTCCGGGGCGGACGTTCGCCCAAAGTTTCATTGGGGGTTTAGTTATGTGGTGATTTATTCAGGATATATTTCAGATTGTTTTAGGGTGTGCTTAGGGTTGGTTTAGGGTTTACTTTAGGGTTTAAGTAGTTAATTTTCTTATTATTTAGGGTTTGCTCACGGTTGTTTTAGGCATGCGGCTGATACGGCGCCCTTGGAAGGGTTGCCAATTTTGAGATGTGCCATTTACGATCCTTTGGAAGGGTTGCATATTTCAACAATGAGGCTTGCACAAATGGGGGTATAGGATTTGATTTTGTTTGAGTTTTTAACATGTTGCACATGCTGTCGTATGATCATCAAGGGGGGGGTGGGGGTGGGGTGGGGTGGGGGTGTATTAACGTTCTTGACGAGCACTTCCTTTACGTTACGGAAGATGCACACGTTGCACATGCTGTCGTATGATCATCAGGGGGGTGGGAGTGGGGGGTGGGGGGGTGTATTAACGCTCTTGACGAGCACTTCCTTTACGTTACGGAAGATGCGCACGTTGCACATGCTGTCGTATGATCATCAGTGGTAAATCATTTTCGAGACTAACAGAATATCTTGACTAAGACTTATCATTTTCGAGGTCGTTTGTGGGGTAAATCCTTTAGAACTATAGAACCATTGTTGCTGGTACTCAACAGATGGATGGAACATGGAAACACTTGAAAAAATGGCGACCTCCGTCGATGCTCCACAAAAAAAAACAAAAGGTGTACAAAAAAAGTGCACTTGGGCCTACAGCTGGACATGGCGTCACAACGCTGCCTTGTTGCAGACTGTGGCATCTGCGTTGCCACAAGCGCTCTGGCACCGCTAGCGTCGAGAAGAGGAAAAAACTGGAAGAGTGAATGCCGCCCTGATATGATTCGGATGGTTGAAAATCATAGATTTCTAATGTATTTTTTTTGACCCTTGAAGAGCAAAATCGAGTCACCGCGCAGGCGACACGCGAATTTTCACTCTTGAGTCACACGCCTGCCAATCGAAATGAATGTCCATGTTGCAAACATTTTTTGACGACTCCTGCAAATACCCGCATTTTTTTCTTACCCTCAAAAATCAGAATTTCAAATTCGTCACCCTTACAAGGGCGCCGAGTCAACCGGTTGCCTTGTTTTAGGGTCTATTTAAGGTTATTTATGGTTGATTTAGGGTTGGTTTAGGGTTTATTTACGGTTTATTTAGGCTTAGGTTATTTTAGTTTTCTTTCAAAGTCTTGCGGTTTGTTGAGGTCTCAGTTAGCGGCTCGAAACACTGCAAATTACGGAGGATATCTTTGAGATACCTTCAAAAGGTGATTTTGGCACTAAGCGCAAAAATGCCATGAGACGCAGGTAATATCAATATTTTGCATGCTCGCAGTGTGCGAAAAACATGCAAGGAAACAAGGTAGGCGGTTGATACGGCGCCCTGTGAGGGGTTGCCGATTTTAATTTTAAGATTTTCACGTCAAAAGCTGGAAACGTGGTATTTGTGGGACTTTGTAAAAGGACATTTCAAAGTCATGATCATTTTTCGATGGCAGGCGCATGACTCCAAAGTGGAAATTGGTGTTTCGCCTCAACGAAATACTAATTTTAGTCATCAGGGGCGAGAAAAAAAAACATTTGATTTTTGAGGTTTTCATTTGGTGTGATTTGAAAATGTGCGTTTCGCCTCAACGAAACGCTCATTTTTGACATCCGGATGTCCAAAAAAAATGGAAAAATTTCCGGTTTTTTTTGGAGTCTGTATAATGTGAACAACTTGCGGAGAGCATCTTTTTCACTCAACGCCACAAGGTGTCGCTCAAAGTCTTTAAATTCAGCATGTTTTCACACTTGGCGTTGTGTCTCCACATATAGGAGTACGCCCATTTGAACCTCATTGGATTCACTCCTGACTGCAATTTCTGTTGAAGGCTCTGAGGTCGCCACTTTTTCAAGTGACGCCAAGTCGAATCCAGTTGTTGGGTTCCGGCAATGATCCTTCTGTAGGCTTTTCCCCAAAGATTTCTGAAGGTGTACCGCTTCGTGAAGATATTCTTTTGGTGGTTCACCTGGGCCACTCTGAACTTTTTGTTCCCAAAGTCTTTTTTGCAACTGGCTGGAAATCCACGAGCACCATCTGCACATACCACGGATCCCTTTGGCACCAACTTCAACAAGTTGGCCTGGGCCACTTCTTGCCTGGATTCTTGCGGAGGTCGAGCTTTCCTGACAGAAGCGCCATTCAGGCTTAAGACAGTTTAATTTAAATTCTTTTTCCGTTTGGGAACATAAAAAATACTTCGTCTTTGGCAAGGTTCGGTGGGACCAATTTCACTGGGAGAGGTTTCAGCAGAAGCCACCCAGTTGTGCGACATGTCACACCAAGAAGACGCACATGTCCTTGGAAATACTTCGGAGTTGCAGAGCGTGGATGCAGTCGATTCCAGAGTTCGATTTGTCGCTTCCAGTGTTCAGAGCGAGCGCTGACCTTGCATATGGGAAAACATTGTTCTAATGATATATATATATATGCAACTTTAAATATATGTACATATAAATATACATATATATATATACACATATATAGCTATCTATATATAATATATATATATATATGTATTTACATATATATATATATGTCATCTTTGAAGCAACAGGAAAAAGAGAAATGAGCAAGGACACCAAAAATTATTGAATTTAAAACAAGGTCCACAACCAAGTCACGAAAAGTTTTCCGATTCCAGCGCCGTCAATTTCATAAACTTCTGCAGGACGCAAGCGACGGGAAATCACTTGTTTGCCAGCAGACATGTCTTCCGCCACTGCAGCAGTTTTCATCGTAATGAAATCCAGCAACGACTGGGCCGCCCAGCGGCTGCAACTGACGCGGTCAGCAACTGTCCGAGGTGATGGAGGAGATTGCTTCGCTTGAAGCCACATGCAAATGATTTCAGCAACTTGCTCCAAGGTCAAAGTGTGGCAACACTTCTCTGGCCAAGGTGCTGTGCGAACTGCATTGAGCCGATGCCGACAGGTCCAGTTGTCACAGCGCAGAACATAGTGGGCGTACTTGAAAAACTTCGCAGAGACATGAGCTACGCCTTGGTTCTTTGCTTTGACCATTTCCAATTTTTTGCTATATCGTCCACGCTTGCATTTTTCACATCTGGCAGGAACATGGAACAAGCCATTTTGAACAGCTGTGTCCCAGCAACTTTGAGCATGTTCTGATGCTTTTTGAATCTGTTTCACCAAGACATCTTGTCGTTTTTCCACATAGGAGGAGTGCATGGATGCTCTGATCCTCTTTTTTTCTTTGCTATTCCGACCAGTGTATTTTTTCCTATGTTCCAAAACTTTGCCTTTGCGCGCACGACCACCAAAGCGTGGAGGCTTTCGACCTGTCTGTTTGCTAACATGTCCTTTCTTCTTCAGCAAGTCACGCAGGAGTGACGCACCAGGCAAAGGACATGATTTTCATCTGTTTCTATGCGTGCATGTATGCATAGAGACCATATTCTACAAAAAACAAATCATGATTGGAACTATCTGTCAACATCGCAATATCTGACACTCCAAGCACAACGCAAATCGATGCCAAGTCCCAAAGCTCTGAGGATCGCACCTAGACAACGAGGCATTAAAGAGAAACACTACATAAAATCGTAACATATCTGTTCCAATTCTGCGATCCACTGGATGATATAGAACTATGTCCTAAGTAATCAACCATGTCCACCCCCGTGCAACGTGCAGACGTGTTAGCAACGTGGTCAGCGTAGCAGTACATGTGCAACGCAAGTGCACATGGACGTAGCGTAGCGTGGCGTGTTACATGTTATGCAAGCGTACATGACGTTAGCATGCCCCACCCACCCCCGTGCAACGTGCAGACGTGTTAGCAACGTGGTCAGCGTAGCAGTACATGTGCAACGCAAGTGCACATGGACGTAGCGTAGCGTGGCGTGTTACATGTTACGCAAGCGTACATGACGTTAGCATGCCCCACCCCACCCCACCCCCGTGCAACGTGCAGACGTGTTAGCAACGTGGTCGGCGTAGCAGTACATGTGCAACGCAAGTGCACATGGACGTAGCGTAGCGTGGCGTGTTACATGTTACGCAAGCGTTCATGACGTTAGCATGCCCCACCCCACCCCACCCCCGTGCAGCCGGTTGATACGACGCCTAAAACATTGCACATACGAAAAATATGGGGATATCAAAATTCAACACACCCTCACAGGGCGCCGTATCAACCGCCTGCCGGAAACAACACAGCAGATGGCAGTCCCGAATGGAATTCCGTGGATTTCGGGCAAACGTCAGCCCCAAAGATTTATATATGTATGTATATATTACTAAAAATATAAATCAATTACTGTACGGCACCACCCCACCCCAAACGTGACTTAGCATGAACTCACGAGGAAAACAAAAAGTGCAGCAGCGTAGCATGTACGTATGCAGGGAAGCGCAAGAGAACTTGCAGCAGCGTAGCGTGACGTATGTAGGGAAGTGCAAGAGAACTTGCAGCAGCGTAGCATGACGGTATGTATGGAAGTGCAAGGTCGCAGCGTAGCATGAAGTATGTAGGGAAGTGCAAGAGAACTTGCAGCAGCGTAGCATGACGGTATGTATGGAAGTGCAAGGTCGCAGCGTAGCATGAAGTATGTAGGGAAGTGCAAGAGAACTTGCAGCAGCGTAGCATGACGGTATGTATGGAAGTGCAAGGTCGCAGCGTAGCATGAAGTATGTAGGGAAGTGCAAGAGAACTTGCAGCAGCGTAGCATGTCGGTATGTAGGGAAGTGCAAGAGAACTTGCAGCAGCGTAGCATGTCGGTATGTAGGGAAGTGCAAGAGACCTTGCAGCAGCGTAGCATGACGTATGTAGGGAAGCGCAAGAGAACTTGCAGCAGCGTAGCATGTACGTTAATGTAATACATGTGCACGAGAACTTGCAGCAGCGTACCATGTACGTTATTACCCCACCCCACCCCACCTCACCCCACCCCACTATATCATATGAAGACTTCAAAAAAACCTACAAAACGCTGGTTCGGTTTTCACCCCGTAGGCATAAACAAGGACACTTCCATGAACAGCCTTCAACCAAAGGAAAAATGTTTAAAACAGAACAAAGAAAGTCTAAATCGATTGTGGCTATCAACTCATGGCGCATGATTGCATGATGCACAGGCCAAGACTGAAACTGGCATACTGCTCCCTACCTCTCAGTTGGCATTGGCACGTGATGTGACCTTTTCGGGTCCATTGACATCCATTGTGACATTATGTGACATTATTGACCTTTGGGGAAGAGCCAGAGATGTCCACTTCCGGCATGTGGTCTCTGGTGGAGCCAGCGGAGCTGACAAAATGCCACCTGAATGTGCTGCGTCAGCGTCGTCACCTCAATCCTCATTAAACCATCTGATTCGATCTGATTCGAATGGTCTCTGCTCAGAGACATAAAGCTTCTCACAGAGTGCAATCTTTTGAAACAGTCCAAGATGAAACTAGCCTGGGGACTATTCTGCCAACTGCCAATCAATCTTGCTCCGTACCGTGCAAAATCACTTTCACTAAGGTATTGAAAAATGAATCTGTATGCAAAGAGATAGACTCGAAATCATAAACGAGGCAAACATCACTGGATCAAGGTATCAGAGTAAACACGTATCGGAGGAAACTATGTTTGAATCTATGCGATGTACATTTCCCGTAATCATTACAACATATCTTTCCAAAACTGGTTTCAGAATTCAAAGGTAACGAGAGAAGCGCCATGCCACGAAATACCCCCGGCCTAGAGAAACCTTCAAATGCTTCTCCAAAAAAAGGACTGAGTTCCGTGTCAGGAAGGAGGTGTCATGCAAACTTGACTATTTCACCTGGTGTCGGTTTCCAACAACCCCAGCATCATTTCTGAATATGCATTGTGAAATGCCAAGAGGAACTCATAACACATAGAGTATGTGAAACTACCTTATTGGAATTCGATGGCACCCCTGGCTGCGCAGGGGCTTCAGGACACTTTTGATAGGGTGAACGGTGGGGTAGCTTTCAGAAGCTTTTCAAGAAACACAGCCTGGGCAAGACACATCCTCCATGCAGAGCTCAAGGGATTGCAGAGCCAAGCTGAGGAAACCACTGGATGAAAAATGATGCAAACTAGCTCCAAGGATCTAAAGCTTACGATCTTCTTTTCCAAGGTGACAGAAAGACATCGACCAAACGCCACCGAAACTGCTGTCGGCTGTGTGGTTCAGTGTGGTTCAGTGGTTCCCTCAAACTTCTCTGATTTTGTGCTTGGCATACGATCCGTGCACAGCTCATAACTACAGGCTGGAAGTGGGCGGCAGGCCTGACACTAAACCCGAGGGACAAAGGGCGAAGGCAACCAAGTCACAACTTTCGAAGAGTCAAAGGATGTCAAAGGTTACCATTTGGATCCACAAATTAGGCAAAGATGATTTCAAACCGCCAAGGGCCACACTTTCACAACAAAACGACTAGAGCATACGTTGACAGAGTTCGTATCGGGTCTGCGACCCTTCAAGGTCCAACTTTTTCCTAGGGATCATCCCACGTCCCCCAAGCTGATTGCACCTTGCGGATAGCCTTCACCTGTCCATGGTCCAACCCTGATTCCTTCACTGTCCCAGTTGCTGAGCCAACTTTCGTCCGAACGGCTTCTTAGATGGATCGTTTCATCAAACACTGGAAGTATGTTACCTATCAAGATCAAGCTCTTAAAACGGTGTAAAAAAAAAAATGTTTTTGCACATTGATCCTTTCTGACAGTTGACAATGAATAGCCTTCCATCAGTTTGATGCAATGGAAAAATATGTTTCTTATTGTCTCAAAAATCATCTGCTAGGCGCAACCTTGTCTGGAGCGGCCTGGCAGCAGTCGTGTTCTGGTCGACATGCACGTAGAAGCCATGTTTGCAAATTCTGCATCAGCTTAGACTATGAGGTTCTGCATAGGTGCTGTGAGATTATGAATTTCTTTGATGGTCTTCCTTGTCTCAGGATCTTGTCAACTCTTCAAGTACATGAAATCAGATCCAACTATGGCGCCTCTAGCTTGCTGGGGCCTTGCAAGCAGGAGAAAAAATCGTTTCCAGGAGCGCAACTTAATTTTCAACAGTACAACTGGCCTTCGAAGTCAAAGTGACGGCTACCTCCCTGGAGACTTTCACTGATGCTAAATGCTTGGGCTCTTAGTCTTCACTTTCGTTTCAACAGGGTGAAACCTGACTCCAAGACTCCGATCCCATCTTCCCTTCGTACAGCCGGTTTATGGAAATATCAGGCTTTCAACCGCTGTGAGATGCCTGCCTGTTCACAATGTTGCAATTCACGGCCTCAAACAGGAATGCCAGGACAAAAGCAATATGGTGCTGAAGGATGCTGAGCCGAGTGAACAGCTCTTGCAATAAAAAGCATGGAAAAGGTTGACGCAAACCAGCCTCACGCTCAGATAGTCGCCGGATAAATTGAAGTGCTGCTTGCACTGCCGGCAAGGAAGGCCCCTGTCGTTTTCCCGACAACTACAGCTATTCACAGGAAAGTCACCACCAAAAAAAGCATCGCTCGCAATCCAAACAGCTTTGAGCAGACTTCGCCTGTGGGACAAGTACGTCCACCATGTACTTTCCAGAAGAGCATTTGTAGACCTGGACCGTTAACCTCGAATACTCGAAATCATCTGAAATCTAGATCTGAATTTGCTCACATTTTGAAAACTGAAGATCAAGCAACTCAAGCGTTGGATGTTTGAACCAGTCTTGCTTCAAACGCTGAGGATGAGGCATGATACCCATCTGATGGACCAGTGGCCGAGCGCGAACACGCCAGGGGGTGACGTTGTGCCACTGGCAGGCGTTGAGCTGCTATGCCGGCTATGCATAGCTATGCCATGCATCGAAAAACTGAGAATCGAAGATGTGTGGGAACAGCATTGGGACAGCATTGGCACAGCGTTGCTCATGTTGCTGGAACCTCGTAGCCAAGGTCTTTCAAGTTTGCCAGCACCTCCGTCATCAAAACCGAAGCCTGATGTCGATGCAGCAATTGGTCTTTACACCTTTGTCTCCGATTTGTCGCCTTTGTAATCCTTTACCTCTGTGGCATTGGTCAATCGCATGGAGAAATTCTGTAGACACTGACTTGCCTCCATGACCACCTCCAATCCCAGTCTCCACGGACACTCCGGTGCCAGTGTAGCCTTTCATACTGGCTTGTGTCATCATGCTCATGTTTGGAAGATCTCGGTAAAATTGCTGCAGGATACTGTTGAACCCTTGTGGCAAAGGTTGTGTTTGTGCGTCTTTGTTTCTTCGTTTCCCCTCCTGGCTCACCATTCCAGAGCGATCTGCCGACACAGCTTTGTAGACCGGCGCCGCACGCTCCTCGACAAGCATGCGTAGCTGCGATGATTGATGGAAAAGGTGATCAACAGTTCACCAATTCGCAAAAAGAACGAAGGACAAATGTGAGGAATTATATTGATTTACAATGCCAAGGTCGTTCAAGAGTTTGGAAACCTGGCACCTCCTTAATTTCGCCTCTCCTCAGAACTACATCCACAGAGACACAGAAAACAATGTCCTGGTCGAAGTTCCTGGTGACGTTTAGGACTTCCTGCATCACTGCAAAGCATTGCAAAGCCATACAAGAGCGATCAAGAGCGTCTGTTTCCGAATCGACTCTTTTCATTTGACATGTTCATCTGTTTCGCCTCCTCGTCAAACATGCGCAGCGCATTAGCTGTACACGGATCCTGCAATTACCCAAGCCCAAGAGATTTCAAAGCCGTGCAAGTCATGTCCAGAAACCTTTTCCTGTTGACCTTATGGCCGGACATATTATTTGGAGAACTTGAGAATTTGCTGTCCCTTTCAATCCTATTCATGCCTGAACACACTTTGAAATGTTTCTTAGAACCAAACAACTTGTGACGGCCGGAGGGAGCACAAAAATTGCCTTCCGCAGCAAGTTGGAGAAGCTACTCTGCTTCGATGCGCGATCTGCCAGCAAGTGATACGCAACCTGTCATTGCTGAAGAGTGATTCATGGACATGTGCACTTATCACCCATTCTGCAAAAATATGTTTTCCTTCAGGCACTTGGGAAACCAGAATGCTTTGGGCCATAAGTCAGTCATAAGTCTATTGGTTTGAAATTTTCTCATGTCTCTCTGTCGGCAAACGCATGTCCCTTGCCTTCTCCTCCGGTTTCAAATTTTCTCTGTCGGCAATTTTGGTGCCCATCAATTCCTCCAGCTCCTGGGCACCGCAACTGCAGCAACTGCAGTAACTGCGGTGTCGCCAAACGTCAAAGACATCCAGCCGCCGCTTGCCTCCAGGATATCTGTCTCGTACTCCTTGGCATCATTTAATCATTGTGAATCATTGGGGATGTGTTCAAGCCCATGCTCCAGATTAGCTGGACTCACGCAAGAGCTAGGCTCCCAAACAAGCTTTTCAGCTGCTAGATTCAGCGGCGCAGCAAGGTACTCTGGCAAATCCTCTATGAGCGTCCATGGCAAATTGAAGATCCAGCAAGTCACTCATACTGAAGTTTCACGAGAAAGCGGTGGAAGAATGCCACAGGGAAGTCTGCTGTGCTCCTTCTGAAACCAACTATGTTTCCGAATCTGCGAGAAGGTGATCCGCCTAGGTGAAAGGTCACAAGCAATCTACATCTGGAAGGAATCATGCATCAACCTAAAAACTGTAAACCCAAAAAATACTGCAGCAGCAAGCCTGTGGCGAGAAAGTTATATTGCCCATTTGCCCCCTTACCTTCCATCAGATTGCCTCGTAGGATCAACCACTAACATTTGGACAATGAGGTCTTTTGCCTCACTGGAGAGATGACCTGCCAAAGGAAAACATGGAAAAACGCGAGGAGAACTGACAACTGCCCTTTGGCCAAAATGTTGGGAAAAAAAAACATGATCGCTTCTGCACGTTGCAGTGTCATCCAGCTGATTTCAAGATGTCAAAGCCTGGCAAAGTGAAGTTGCCGTGTTTGATCTTGCGGAAGAGGTTCGGCACCTGTCAGCACCAGGTGGCGGTCCCAACCCTCCGACAACTTCCCCATCCAAAACGTCGTTCCCAAAGCCGGAGCACATTCTCATCATCGAAGGGTAAAGACCCGCAGAGGAGAGCGTAAAGCACTACCCCGCCCGACCTGGCAACATGTCGCGTATCTTGATGAAGCGACTCAGTGTCTACTCGCATGGTACAATGTGCTTGGAATATACACATGTATAGATTTAGATGTACCAGTAGTACCGCACAAGGCGGTGGCGGAAGTTCCAAAGATAAGAAACCTATGGGAGAGGTTGGTTGTGAATCACGAATGGCAGAGCGAATCCACTGATGGACCGAAAGGTGGTTGGAGTTGTGTTTTTTGGAATGTAGTTGTAGGTGTAGCTGTAGTTGTGTTGTAGCTGTAGCTGTAACTGTAGCTGCAGTTGCAATGTAGTATATGTAGTTGAAGTTGAACTTGTAGTGGTAGTTGTAGTGTAGCGTAGTGTAGTTGTAGTTGGCCGTCTATCTGTCGATCTGTCTATCTGTCTATCTTTCTGTCTGCCTATCCATCCATCTCTCTGTCTTTCTCTCTATCTGTCTATCTGCAAGCTTGAAGAAGAACCTATTCTGCGAGACTTCCTCAGTTTTTGATCGCAAAAAAATGCTGGTATTTAATGGTATTTACACAGTTTTTGCAATTTCAAGAAAACGTGGAAGGCACGAAACACTGTAAATAGCGGTGTTTTGGCCACTTTTGGGCGCCGAAATGCTAGTATTTACGCATTTTTTTACCCGTGAGGGCGCATCATTTTTCGCACTTTTTAAACCCTTTTTTTGCCTTGCTGAACGCAAAAAACACTGGTATTTACGCGTTGTTCATCACTTTTAGAAAAAACGAAGATCGTGACGTGAACGAAACCCTGTAAATAACAGTGTTTTAGCCACTTTCGGGGACTAAGCGCTGTTTATGTTCAATTTTTAACCGCGCGATGCTTTCACATGTTCTTGACATTCTTCCACAAGAAACAACGTAGCAGATTGAAACTGGACTACGGCGTGACCCGAGAGAAAGCTGGAGGGAGGAGACGCACAGAAGCTTTTACACACACTGCAGGGGTTTTTTTACACCGAGAAGCCTTTACAAAAAGGAGTTTTTTACACACAGATTGTTTTACACAGAGAAGCCTTTACTCCAAGGAGCTTTTGCACACAAACGTCTCGGAGCTTTTACACAGTTTTTACACGAAGAAGTCTTTACACAGATGGTTTTTTTACACACAGATGCGTTTGCACACAGAAGCTTTCACACAGAGAAGCCTTTCACACAAAAGCGTTTACACACAGCAAGCTTTTACACACACACACAGGGGCTTTTACACAGAGAAGCCTTTTACACACCGAAGGTTTTACACAGAGAAGTCTTTACTCTAAGGAGCTTTTGCACACAAACGCCTTGGAGCTTTTACACACAAAAGCTGTTACACAAAGAAGTCTTTACACAGAGAGCTTTAACGCACAGATTGGTTTGCACACAGAAACTTTTACACAGAGAAGCCTTTACACAGAGAGTTTTTACACACGGAAGTTTTTACACACAGAGAAATCTTTACACAGACGCGCTTTCACACAGAGAAGCTTTCCACACAGAAGCTTTTACACAAAGAAGCCTTTACACCCAGAAACTTTTACACACGGAAACTTTTAGTAACAACTTTGATTTGGCAGCAGTTCTTTAGGAAAACCCTTCGCAGGAGCTTTCGGGAACTCACTTGCTCCCAAAAAAAACGTCTATTTCCATCTATTTCCAACAAATATGTTCCAAACAACCTAAGGAATGTATTTCTAAAGCAGGTCCTCTTTCAATGTCTTTCAAGCTCACACTGCGATACACTGCGATGAAGTCGAGGACCGAGTCGTCCGGCAGAGCCGACGATGAGCGTCAGCTCAAAAATTCGGCTCCGCCGGCTCCCCACGAGTGGCTTGCCCTACGAGCGAGCGACTATAGCTCTATGGTGAGGCGCCGCCGACCCTCCGACGCCGGGCCCCGAAAAACACCAAAAATCCTTCAGGAGGGTGGGGGAGAGCTTTTTGGACGGAATCCGGGTCGCTCATAAGCGTCTCCAAGAGCATAATCCCGCCCCCCCGATTTTGAGGGTACCTAAAGTCGGAAAAAAGCGCCGTTTGAACACATTTTTCGGACGATTTGTCGCTTTTCGAAAGTCACAAAATGCTGTATATTACAGCATTTTTGCGTTTTGCCGTCTTTTGCGGGAGCCATGCAAAAACGCAGAAAATGCTGTAAATACCAATACGTTTTCAACCAGACATGCGCAAAACACTGCAAATATCAGTGTTTTTGAAAGCAAAGCAAAAAAACAATGTAAATTACACCATTTTTGGCGGGTTGATCGCAAAAAATGCTGGTATTTAATTGTATTTACACAGTTTTTGCAATTTCAAGAAAACGTGGAAAGCACGAAACACTGTAAATAGCAGTGTTTGGCCACTTTTGGACGCTGAAACGCTGGTATTCACGCAGTTTTTTTGCCCGTGAGGGCGCCAATCCCCTGTAAATTACAGCATTTTTCGCACTTTTTAAACCCTTTTTTTGCCTTGCTGAACGCAAAAAACACTGGTATTTACGCGTTTTTCAAAAGATCGAAGATCATGACGTGAACGAAACCCTGTAAATAACAGTGTTTTAGCCACTTTCGGGGACTAAAACTGTGGTATTTACGCAGGTTCTTGCCATCTGACAGCGCAAAATGCTGTAAATTACAGCACTTTGTGCGCTGTTTATGTTCAATTTTTAAACGCGCGATGCTTTCACATGTTCTTGACATTCTTCCACAAGAAACAACGTAGCAGATTGAAACTGGACGACAGCGTGACCCGAAAGAAAGCTGGATGGAGGAGTCGCACAAAAGCTTTTGCACACACAGGGGCTTTTACACAGAGAAGTCTTTACACAAAGGAGCTTTTTGCACACAGAAGGTTTTACACAGCGAAGTCTTTACTCTAAGGAGCTTTTGCACACAAACGTCTAGGAGCTTTTACACACAGAAGTTTTTACACGAAGAAGTCTTTACACAGAGGGGTTTTTACACACAGACGCGTTTGCACACAGAAGCTTTTACACAGAGAAGCCTTCACACAGAGGAGCTTTTACACACAAAAGCATTTACACACAGCAAGCTTTTACACACACAGGGGCTTTTACACAGAGAAGTCTTTGCACAAAGGAGCTTTTTACACACAGAATGTTTTACACAGAGAAGTCTTTACTCTAAGGAGCTTTTTCACACAAACGTCTAGGAGCTTTTTCACACAGAAGTTTTTACACGAAGAAATCTTTACACAGAGGGGTTTTTACACACAGACGCGTTTGCACACAGAAGCTTTTACACAGAGAAGCCTTTACACAGAGGAGCTTTTACACACAAAAGCATTTACACACAGCAAGTTTTTACACACACACACAGGGGCTTTTACAAAGAGAAGTCTTTACACAAAGGAGCTTTTTACACACAGAAGGTTTTACACAGAGAAGTCTTTACTCTAAGGAGCTTTTGCACACAAACGTCTAGGAGCCTTTGCACACAGAAGCTGTTACACAAAGAAGTCTTTACACAGATACAAGTATATAGCTTTCACACACAGACGCGTTTACACACAGAAACTTTTACAAGAGAAGCCTTCACACTTTACACAGAGAGTTTTTACACACGGAAGCTTTTACACACAGTGAAATCTTTACACAGACGCGCTTTCACAGAGAGAAGCTTTCACACACAGAAGCTTTTACACAAATAAGTCTTTACACAAAGTGGTTTTTACACACAGAAACTTTTACACACAAAAGCTTTTACACAGAGAAGTCTTTGCACAGAGGCGCCTTTACACGAAGTAACAAGTTGAACTTGGCAGCAGTTCTTCGGGAAAAACCCTTGGCAGGAGCTTTCGGGAACTCACTTGCTCCCCAAAAAAGCCGTCTATTTCCAACAAAGTTCTTACTCCATGATTTTTTTTTCAAAAAAAAAAGGAATATATTTCTGAAGCAGGTCCCCATCCAAAAGCTTTCAAGCCCACACTGCCATGAAATGGAGGGTCGAGAAATCCGGCGGAGCCGACGATGAGCGTCAGCTCAAAAATAATTAGATATTTGCATGTCGCTTGCAGCGACAGGCTGTTTTCACTTGATTACCTATTGCTCTCAAGTTTGGCTCTCGTTTTGAGCACTGGCGGAAACAAGCCGACCAGACCAAACGTCCACCTCTGGACCCACGTAGGCCTAGTCAAGAAAACAGTCCACGAGAACTAATTGGCAACAGGCAAGCTGACGAACAAATGCACCACATCACACCGCTGCCTTGCCAGTCACAACCTCTGGCGATGCATAGTTTGGAGAGCCACAAGAGGTCTTCAAAAACTCGCCATCGCGCCTGGTGAACACTTCTGCTCAACACCTTTCTTGCAGCAAAATGCTGAGGCTCACATAGCACTTAAGCAGCGGGCATGGTATTGGACAAGCCAAAATCGCCGATCTTCACATGCCTCAGAACGCCAATACCTGGTGAGAGAGTCATAGAGGCTTCGCTGAAATTCTGCGCATGTGATCCACTTTGTGCCAGGCAGGTTGGAATCCAGTAGAAGATTTTCGGGCTTGAGGTCCCGGTGCGTTACCTCAACATGGCAACAGTTTGCAGCCCCGGGGGCCAACAAAAAAAGAACCAACGAGGAACTGAGAGAGGCACCATGCACTGGTGACAGTATTCAACTCCCGAAAGAATCTGTTGGAAGAATCTTCTCGCCTTGTAACATGGAAGATTGGTTGATCCACTCAGAACTGCTCCCAGCTTTCAAGGGCCCATGCATTCCAAATCATGTCTGCAAACGGCCCGCATCTCAGAATCTTAGACGTCTTGGAACCCTGCTTCATCCTCCTGTAGTTTGAGCTTGTGAACAATGTGATCAAAGAGCTCTCCATTGGTTGCATATTCCATGACCTCACGTGACTCAAGAGGTGAAGGGCACGGGAATTCGGAGCCTGCAATGGACGGTCAGACTTTCCTAGTTCTGAGATGTTCTGAGCTCCCCCACCATGAAAATGTCACTGGGCGTATCAAGTAACTCATATAGTCGGATCACATGGGGATGCGTCAGAAACCTTAGCAAAGGGCTAAGGTCCAAAAAGAGCTGATCTGGACTAGCCGAAATGGCTGAAATGGGAACAACTGAGTGTGGCACTGCAAGATCTGGATCTCCCGTCTGATCTTTTCATGCATATTCATGTGCTCCATCTTTCTCTTGTTTATGATCTTGATGGCCACCTGCACAAGCATGTCTCCACTCCATTGACGGTCGTCTTTCGGGGATCACTCCCAAGAGTTTTTTTCCACGTGCAGTGTGGTGATGGAAAGGAAAAAGGAAATCATTGTTTGGCGTCTTTTTTAGAACTGAAAGAGTGCGCCTTCTGTCCTGTCAGGGTGTGCTCGGCCATCTTGACCTTGACAAGATCCAAAGCAAATCAGCAGAATAGCCAATACACAATGACTGCCTCCTTCATAGCATACGCTTGAAAATAGCATGCGCTTAAAAACTTAAAAGTGCTGCACTCGCAATCCTCTGAGATTTCCCACCTTGCCGAAGGTTCCCACCCCCAGCGTGTTGGAGATCTGACAAGTGGGCGCCAATGGAGCTGGTGTCATGAATTCAGTGGACATCAGTGGACATCAGTGGACATGAGTGGACAGTTGAATGTTCCTGGGAAAAGGGGTGCTGGATGACCTGCATGAATCTGCATGATTCATAAGGAAACAAATAGCATTCTGCCACACTGCCACGTGATGCCACGTGTAGATCTCCTGAAGATTTGGTTTTGTGTCCCTCAGCTTCTTGAAGGGTCAGGTCACACTGCTTAGAGGTGCAATGTGAGGCAACCCTAGGAATTCACTCGCACCATGAAGGGTGGCAACGTGCTCATCCAAGCAGGGTCCAAGCACAAAGGAAGTGGCAGTATACGGCCCAGTATACACCCTGTTTTCAGTCAAGACCAGCGTGCCTTGTAATTCGCAATGGTCACCATCTTCCCAAATTCAGGGTCGATTGGATGTCACATCAGAAGATCCGCGGCTCAACCAAGCAGCTGTTGTGGTTCCCAACTGTATATTGAATCTCTGTTCAAGAGTGCGGGGTTCTGAAGAATGTTAGATAGATTTGTGGTTGGTGCGTGCAAGTCTGCAGAAACTTGAAGCAGGGGTCCAGTGTGCAGGTTTGCTGAATACTCTTGGCATCTCTTTGCAGGCGAGATCAGGGGTCTGGAGAAAATGACAATGATGTTTGACAAGATGACAACTTGTCATCTTATAGATGCAATGCTTCTCCAAAAGTTCATCTTCCAAAATACTGTTCCCTCGAGGCATGCAGCAGGGCAGAGAGCAGTGATGAGTGCCATTCATGTCCGGGTTCACTACAAAGGCAAAGCCAAGCACATAAATAGTTCAAGCCTGGAAAGCACAGCCTCAAGAATATCCTTTTAGGCAGGAAGCCAAAATTAAAATCAGTTCTATATTCTATATTTCTATGAAGAGTTGAAGCCAGCATCAGCTTGAGTTTGTCAAGACTTAAAATCCATATAATCAATGTGTCGTTGGGAAAAGCAGTTGCCACCTCTCCCAGATCCAGACGTCCTTTCTTGCGAAGCTCAAGTTTCTAAGCTGTGCATAGCATTAGCCAGGCAACAGCATGACAAGCACGCTGTGAAAGAGTTAAAATCACCACATGGACAGCATCCCATCCTGAACTGGCATCTTGGATTAGAAAGTTCCACTGCCTTCAGAAAAAAGTGGGTTCAATGCTGGTTGATGGTCCGCAGCGCATCCTCGGCTTCAGGAGTCACCACTTTCCACTTCAAGCTATGCAACTACAGCAGCTACAGCACATCAACTTCTTAGCTGAATGCGTCCACAGGTTGCACTGAACATGATAAGGCGTTTCATGTCTTCCCAGTCTACAGAGTCAACGGCCTGCAGACAGTTGGTATAGTGCTTAAGGGCTTGCATGATGTCATCATCTGCCTCAAGGCAATGGGAATGGGAAGAATCTGCGATCAAAGCTCGAGTGGCTTGAAAACAAAACTGAACGAAGATGGCAATGATGTTTTGATGTTTTCCCTTGACTTTTTTAGGTGATTTTCCTGCTCCAAATATCTCAGAATGCTAAGATATGCTAAGTCTGCAGTGACAAATCAAGGAAATGGCGGGATATGGCCTGTGTGCGAGCCGTCTTCTCTGCAGCCAGCATAGCTTTGATGCCAACCACCTCATGGCAGACTCATGGCAACATGGCACATCACAGGTTGGGCTCAATCATCATCACTATTAGTCACTATGTACATGAAAAACGGACACCAATACAGATTTGGGTTTGACCAGAAATTGGGTACCGTATACTTTAAAGTGGCAATTGTACTGGAGAAAATGATGATAAACCCCCGGATATTGTTGTACCCTACATTCGGACAAACCCATTCCCTGAAAGCAGTGACATGGGCCTTCTCCTCCAGGTAGCTGTAGATCTGGTCATCCCCTCCCGAGACAGCCAAGAAAAGCAAACCTTTGAATCTTCTGGTTCATTTCAATTCAGATCAACTCGATTCCACTGAGTTCAAGTTCCCACGTTTGCCTGTTTCACTCCGCTGTTTCAGCCCGTCTAAGCGTGCACGTAGACTCTGATACCTCGGCCACATTGGCATCACATTTCGAAGCCAAGAGCGTACGTGATTTTTGCTGCCCAACATGCACCATGAAACCTGTGCACCATGAATCCAAGAGATCAGTGTCCATTTCTCTCATCGAGTTCCATATAGGTCTGGGAAGTACATTAGCCACTTTAGGCAGTTCGGCAATTTAGTACATATGCATCGTCCTTGCCAAACGGCGCGCCAACTTGCGATGCAGAAGGGGTCTCCAAAGTCGCATTGCCAGCGTTAGACCCACAGCATACGCCACTCCTTGAAGAATCAAATCCAAAATCGGCTCCACCATCACAGAGAGGTTGGCACTGCGCTGAACTGACGAGAGTATGGAGAGGACAACGTGCGACCCAGGAGCCAGGACAAGAAGAACCGGAAGGATGGCGAGAATTGCAGGTGATGATGTACAATATTCATGAAAATAAGCGAAGTTGGCGGCCGCAAAGAGCGCAATCGAGTCGATGATGCGATTCGGGAAAAAACCCTCGATCTGAGACTGTTTTAGCAAGACTATGTACAGAAGCAAAGACAAATAGGCTATGAGACCTGGCCCTGCCATTTTGCACAGCGGCATATTCAAGCCAATAAAGGCAAAAAAAAGTAGAGGGATGTTCCAGCAGCAAAAGACAATCTCCCAGCTGTAAGGGAACATGCATGACATATTGATCGGAACCAGCGAGGCAGCAGCGGATGATTTCGTGGCCCCCTGATAGAATCCATGACCAAAAACCTGCCAGCCTATCAGAAGAGCCATGGCAAGGAACATGCAACGCACGACACAGGAGCCAAGTTGGCTTACTCCATTGACCAGCGAGCCAAACTGTATTTCATAAGCTCCGTAGATCAGTTGGGACCCCGGTAAATATACCAAAAGCGGTGACAGATAGATGGCTGGTATTTCACAAAGAGGAGCGTTTAGAAAGCTCGAAACCAGTGGAGTCAGGACACCAACGGTCAAAGCTACGATAAATGCTTCCAAATCAGCCCACGGGCTGAACCTTCTACAGAAAACCTGCCCCAGCACGGTCGCTGGTACGATCAAAGCCACTGCAGCTGCATCACGTGAGCTCCCCATGAAAGCAGCAATGGAAGCCAGGACGCTCAAAGCGCAGAAGCAAACGTATTGGACGAAGTCGCTATACGGTGGTCTTTGTTCAAAAATATCATCAAGCAGGTCTGATGCCCCTTGAATAGTTCCGACCCGCATCATCATGAGATTGGCCAAGCTTATTGTAGAAGCCAGCTTGTCTGCATTGATGCCTCTGGCAAAGGGCACGGTGTGTACTATCCCTGCAAACGATGCATTGATGTTTCGCGTGCCCACCTCGAAATGAACCACTGGCAATTCGATTGCAGTACAAACTTGAAAAACCATATCTTCAGTGTCGGCGGCGCTTTGGCCAAAACTGATCATTGCCAGGCTCAATTTGAGGATACAAACAACGGGAACTGCAAAATGACCAAGGCCTTGGTCATGGTACAAGCGCTGGATATCAGCCTGCGTCAAAATCTGACCTGGTGCCAGAGCTTTCTGAAGACGAGACTGTCGCAAACTGTCTTGTAGCCCTTCCTCTGCTCTTTCAATTGCAGACAATGAGGCCACAGAATCCTCAACGCTGGAAAATCCTCCATGGCAGTCCACGTACAAACAAGGCAAGCTTTCTTTCAGAGGGAAATCAGAATCTTCTTCGGAGTCAAAAGACTCCATTTCCGAATTTTGGATGCCAACTTTGGGCTCCCACCTAGGGCCACTAAAAGTTAATACGTCAGTAGTGTACTCGGCTTGCAAATGGCTCCCAGTCTCATCCTTTTCTGATGCACAAGCTAATCCTTCACCAAACCCATGAGTTGTACCTCAAAAAGTTGCCATTGGTCGCCCTATGACATAAACTCTCCAATTTGAGGTCACTCTAAGTTTCAAATCTTGGGATGATATCACCATCCGGTGCGGTCCAAAGCTCACACCCAAAGGAATGATATCCATGTTGGACTTGTTGGACTTATTGGACTTGGAGCCCTGCTTCTGTTCACGCTGCTGGGCTTGCGTTGCTATCAGCGCACGCGTCTGCGCCTGACCCCAATTGGATTGTTGCACAAAGCATTTGGAAAATTTGGCAGGAAAATCTGGAGAATCCAATTCTTGTCCAGATACAGTTATCATACAATCGTCTAAATATTGTGATGAGATTCCTATTTCAGCTTGGCTTTGCAGCATTCAATCGCATAGCTCGCATCCCACACTGGAAGCTGAGGTCTTATTCTGTCATCTTCAAGCTGATGATTTGAGCCCAGTGCCTCACACTCTGACAGCTGCTTGGCAAACTCATCTGCCCGCTGTTTCCTCTCCTTGCAGACAGCATGGCACACCAACGAAGATCCCTTCCAGAAATCAACTCCAGTCGTTGTTCGGTCGGAAAGCCAAGGCCAAATGCAAATAACACCGCAAAAGTAATAACTAACGATGTCAAAGCGCCACCTTTTAACCCCACAGTTCCTTTTGCACTTTGCACGTTGACAGTTCCATGCAACACTGCTGCTCATCAGTTCCTCTTTCTCTCGCTTCAGGTTTGACTTGCAATTCTCCACCTCCTGCCAAAACAGCGGCAGTTGGTGCAAGAGTTCGTGATCACGATGTCAGGAAGACCCAGTCAATGGCTACAAAATTCTACAGGCAGTTTGCGACCGTTGGCCACAAGATCCTTTGAACTGAGCTGCACAGCTGCATTGCTCCTCTGTTAGTCGGTGATTGCGACGACTAATGTCCTTGCGAATATGCTATGCACTGCCAAGAACAACCCAAAAAATGGATACATCTTCCATTATGGAACGCCTGCACTGTTTCATTCAGCGAACGCCTGCATGTGCTTCTCCCTGGTCAGTGAGAACTCGCGTTCAACTGCTGACATTCGCTGACCAAGCATGGCCACACCTCAAGGGGCGAACTGCTCATGTCTTGTATCTAAAATCTTATATATATAATATATATATATAAATCAGTGGGAATTTCACGACCATGAAATGGCGGGTACTGTACCGTATAGGCTAGGGCCATATCTTGTGGGGATATTCCCTTACATAGCCCTTACACAGGCCTTATATAATTTATACATGGTAGGCCATTCAATAAATGTGGTGATGGCAACAAAGGTTCAAACCTTCAAAGCTTCGAATTTCGAGGCCAGTTTTCAGGGCCCAGCTGGAGTCCAAATGGTCCAACTTCTTCATGAAGACTGCATCCAATCGGTCCTACCAAGGACATTCTCCGACATTCCAATGGTCTTATGCTGTGCTATTCATTACAAACCATGAAGGTGTTTCAACGCATGGCGCTAGTCTTACGGGAATTTGTTTGCAGATGCAGGTTGTTTGAAGTGCCAGGCACCACCAGGAGTCCTGAATGGACTGTACCTGTGACTCAAACATCACACCCAAGGCTTTGTTCGCCTCTCACCCAGAGAGTCTGACGGAAGGCGCATGACCAAAAAGACTCCTCATTGTAGTCAAAACCAGTCAAAAACATAATCCTAAGAACAAATCCAGGGTATCAGAGTCACAACTTGATCGCTTTCAACGCAAGACTTTCAATGCTCCTCAGAGCCACTGCCTAGAGCTGCACAGTTTCGATTTTAATGTAGTTTTCATGTGACAAAAACAATCACAACAAGACACGCCTCTTGTCTCTCTTTGATCTCGGACTGGACGGCTTGCACCACTTTTTCCATACTATCTCGCACACCTAGAATCGCAGCTTTCTCTGAATTCCACCGGAGAATCCTACCCTCGTGTCGAGAGAGCAAAGGGCTGTGCAAACATGAAAAATCATGAGATGTGGGTTAGTGTGGGTTGGTCTAAAAATAGGGCATCCCAAGCAGCTCCCTTCACTCACTCTTCACAAGGGCGATGTTGGAGTATCCCCCTTTCCAGCCTATGCGTCAAACTCCTTTGTTCAGAAAAAGATCCAAGGTTGGGACCATCTAGCTTGGAGCCGCTTCGATCAAGTCGGTCCCTGCAAATCACTGAGGCTTCGCTTAGACATCAGAACAAAACCTGACGTCATCCTCCGAATCACTACAATCACTACAACTTCATGGCGAAGCTCGCCTCATCTCCTCCTCCAATTGCACTTGGCAATTCGAGAAGTTCTCGCGAGCAAAGGTCTTGGCCTGCAATAAATTTTGCAGCAACTGCTTTCAGACTGAAGAAATCTATTATATATATATAATATTTATATATATATATGTATATATATATATATAAATGGATTTGTCTGAAAATGGGATGGCCAAAAAAAAGAAACGTGTTTATCGGGTTATCATCATTTACTTGGTACTCATCAAAATAGGCACAAATTGGAGTCTTTCATGGTCTTTCCAATTTTCAGACTCAGATCAGCTATTGAAAGCACCTGAGCCTGTAGAGGCAGCTGTACAGTGCCCCCATTCCTCAACGACTTGACACGACGTAAAAAAAAATGCTGAAAATCACAGCTTCACAGCTGCCAGTACCACTGGAACACTGGACTGAGGTTGCTTCCATGAACGCACATTGTATGGATTGTCCATGGCACAAACGTCGGCATGCTATTGTTGGGTGTTCACATATGCCAAGAGGAGCTGGTGTCCTTTGGAAAATGAAGCCTGTAACTCTACCCGACCTGTTTGAACACTAAGGTTGCTGCAAAAACGTCCTTAGTCCAAAATCTTAGGTAGCCCCTGTTGCTACATGCTTCAATCAAGAAATACCATCTGTCGTTTGTCGCTTGAGCCCAAGAGGTACTGTTGCCGATTCAAGCGGGAGAACTTTAGCGCCAATACTGTTGCGAGGAAGTGTGTGTGCAACAAGTACACCATAAGGTCACTAGTAACACTACTCATAATTAGATGCCATTACGACATGCGGGTCTCCGTCAACTCAATGTTTGGATGTGCACCCTCTATCCTCTCTGAAAACGGTTGAAGCAGACTTTTTTGCTACCCTTGGATGGAATCGTTTCTTGTGAAATTGGATCGTCTTGGCACTGACCTGAAGGTGCGAATCAGGCGTCTATCAAATCGATATCCCACAAAAACATACGAATGGGTGCCGTATTCCACTAACGTAACTAGCGCAGTAGCGTGAGGCTCCAAAAAGTGCCTCGGGTTTTTTGCGGATGTGGCATGTGGGGCATGGAATCTCAAGAACTTGTCCACCTGACAGGATTCAGTTTCTGAAGGCTTTTCTGGCGCTTCGCAAGACTCTGCAAAGCAATGGTGTGAGACTTAGGGAGCAGACGTGCAACAGATACAGCCGGATGGAAACCTCAAAATAACATATTCAAAACTACTGTTTGAATGGAATTGGATGCCGCCTACGGGGCCTACCAGTCCATCTCTTCACATTCTTCTCATGTCTTATCAGTTCCCTCGAAAAGCCGAAACGGCTTTGTTGCAGCACACAGCTGAAGGTGGCGAAATCGGCTCAGTCTTGGCGAAGAGGAACTGACCTGAGGGTACTACAACACACGCTGGAGAAAGAAGCTCAAATCTCAAGTTCGTTCACAATTTTTGCTGATCACTGATTTTTACCAATGTTTACGTATTTTTTGTCCTGTTGGCACAGTCTCCTTGCTGTTTATAGAAAGCACAACCGGCTGATTGTAACAGGAAGCTCCCGCATTTGCCGCATTTGGGACTTTGGAAGATGGATTGGTGTCAACTCACTCGCTCTTGTTAGTGTTACAACAATGATGGACAGCTTCATGCAACATCGTATCAAGCACACTGCTCATCTCTCTAAAGCACCCTTGGTAGGGTACTCTGCGCTCCCTGTTTGCATCAACAATGTACGGGAAGTGTAGATGGGGAGCACGGTGACTGCAAGCGCACATCTTCAAGGGAAACCTTTAGCTACACGATTTGGTGCCACTTTTCCGTGATCACCCTTCTTGATGAATAAATTGTCCAACTTCTAACATCTCCGAAGAAAAGCCACTCCAAAGGCAGCGGCCACAAAACCTGAGACTAAGAACCTTACATCTGCGTTCAGTTGTACAAGCATTCAGTGCTTATGCACAACGTTGCACAACAAACCTCCAAACATCACTTCCTCGCTGCACAACAAGCCTCCATACTAACCATGCTACCTGCACGACTGCACGTGTCTTTTTGTGTCTACGTGGATCCTTGGGGCTGGGCTCATCTGCTTCGTTGATGTAAAAGCCTCAGGTTGGAAAGGCGGAAAGGATCGGAAAGGCAAATTTGTAAGGCGAGTTTCTGCATAAGACGACACGACAACACCGAACAGAAAAGAAACCTGCGCAAACATCAACGAGAATGTTTTATACTCATGCGAGAGAAAAGGTTTTGATGGGTTTTGGTTGCGTTTCCAAGAGTCTAAAGGGACATCATGGGACATCTATGCTCACGTCATGACTGCTTCGCTAGAGCCACTAGAGGATTTCGGCTGAGTGGCGGCTGGGGCCCGGCAGCGGCAGAGGTTGCCCGTCTTCAGGTCTCCAAAGCATTTGCCTCAGGATACACGAAACATCCCGAAACATCCCGAAACATCGAATTCGCATGGTAAATTCGCACACTCAAACTATCGAAAATGTTCTAAGATCTTAAGCTCTTGGGATTTGCTGGTCTGTCTAGAAGTGCCTTCCTCACCAAACATATGTTGCTCTTTTCTTGATCCCGTCCTCCGTGGTGATACTCACGCACACATCTCTTGCTGCCAAGGAGCAACAGTCTGGACGGCACCTTCCCTTCGGCCTGCAGCCGCTGCCAAAAGCGGTAGCCGTCAAACCGGGCATTCTCACCCTTAGCGGCTCAGTGGCTCAACGGACTCAACGGACTCAGCGGACTCAGCGGTTGCAATCGAACTGCTTACTGTGAAACCGAGGCTAGCGCGGCATTGCAACAAAGCCGGCAACGGCACTCTTCCTGTGAGGCAAAGTCCTCCACATAAGCCTGGGCTGTTGGCCAAAGAGTTGCATTCTGTCGAAAAACATCTCAGAACTATCAGCCTCTTCGGTTTGCGGCCAAATCAAGAGTTTCCAATTTGGCCCAGCAAAAGAGCTCACGATGCACAAATGGAGCCCCTGCAACGTATCATCTCCGTGTACAAAGCCCACCTTGGATCCTTGGTTCACCAGCTGCCAAGCATCCTGAAAAGGTTCAGGGCATATGTCAAAACTTTGCATCTGCCAGGAAGAGCTGAAATATCAAGTGTCATGAAGGGATTAAAAGTCTTTGCAGCAAGGTTCGGATGGAGCAAAATCCTTTTTGTGACGCTGCGCTGTCGATCCCGGGTGCTTTCCTAACCACTCCAACGAGTGGAATGCTTCCGCCCGACCATTGACGGGCGGACAAGGCGCAATGGATCAGGTTTCACGCAGCCTTAATTGGGCAAAAAATGCAAAAATGGAAAACGGGCTAAGTGATGTCACGTGAATCAACAAGAGGTCCAGAGCGACTGAAACCACGGCCGCTTCAGATGCAATCGACATGCCGTTGAATCCGACACCACCAAGCCATTCAATTCTTCCTCCGTAAGCATTGTCTCAACCGCGGGGTCAGGCGTGCTGCTGGTGGGATGTACTATGTGAAGGCAAAGGCCCTCCACATCTTCTTTGAGCCCAACACGGCTCGCACCCATCTTCTCTCGAAGCTTCAACATGAAGGGTGCATCCTCGGCAAAGGCCAAGTTAGGGTATGGAAAAGAAAGCGCTAATGCACGGAGGTAAACATAACTAAAGCCATAGCCATAGAGGATGCCCTCGTACTCTTCATGGTCCTCTGGCTCCCAGCATCCCGGGGTGGAATATCCACACCGATCTCTGGACTCAAAGAAGTTATGCCATGCAGAGAGTGTCAGTGCGACCAAACTTCTCTGTCTGATCTCATTCACCATGCGCTCCACATAGACCGTGGCGTACAAGTCGTCGTCATCAAAGTTCACAAGGTACTGTCCACTGGACATGAGCACTGTCAAATTTCTCTTGGCACCCACTGTGAAGTCCCCGTTTTCATCCACTTCGATTGCCAAATACTTGAGTCTCTTCTCCCCGGCCTTGACCAATTTGGTGAAGACTTTGGAGGGTTGTTGGTTTTGAGTGTAGGTTTCTACCACGACCAACTCCTTGTCTGGCCAGGTCTGATCAAGGAAACACTGCCACAGCTGTTCATGGAAACGTGCACGTGACGCAGTGGTCGGCGTCAAAACAGACACTCGGCCTGAGACCTCAGCAGGTGGCTTCTGCGAGAATTTGCGAAGACCTTCGATGCTTTCGATTTCTCTCTCCAGTGGTGTTAATGTCCTGACTACCTTTCTGATGCTGCGTGGCGCCTTCACATCTTCGGCCGCGTTGTTGGACACGCCCACCGTGTTGGCGATGGCTGATGCGGGAACATCGGCGGTCTTCGCCACAGGAGACACCACATCGTTCTGCACATTGGCCACACCCATGGCTACCGGGTTTTTCCCAAGCCACGGCGGCGGTACTCTCCGTTTGTGCCGGAATGGCTTCGCGGACTCTCTGCAAAAGACTTCCGTACTGGTTCTTCCAACCATTAAAGCTTACAAACTTGCTACGGACCAACTCATTTGGGAACCTCAAGCTGAGTGATGGGTCAGATGATGTCAGATGGGTCAATGCATTTGTCCTGCTCTCCAAGGTATTCAACGAGCTGTCGCAGCAGAAGCCGCTGGAGCTGTAGCATGGGCTTCACATCCTTCGAGTTGTGTAAAAACAGCGGAGGTTGGACAAAAAGATGAAAAAGGACAACAAAAAGGACAACATAGGACATAGGCCGACAATAGGCTGACATAGGCTGCCAAATTGTAAAAAAATGTCTGTCTGATGGAGAATTGCTTTGACCTTGGAGGATAAAACTTTGATCTTCCACTGCCTGATGTAACTCGATTTCAATTTTGGCGTTGAGTGCATCATGCCCTCCCCTGATGAGAAGACTTGATGTCCTCCAGAGCATATTCCACCATATCTTCAGGCAAAGGCCTTCGCTCCCAGAGATGCCTGTCCTGAATGGAAGGGCGTTTGGAGAGTGAATCTGGGGTCTAAGCATGAAATCCCTTCCCCAAAATATTCAACATCCACTAGCGACATCTAGCGACCCTAGTTTTGTCTTAACAGTAAGAGCATTGTGGAGCGATGGATTTCACTGAGCTCAGGTCCCGTGAGAATCTGTCATGGATGGCCTGCTTCTGCTCCTGTGCAGCTTTCAGTGCCAGGTATGTTTTGCAGCTGAGCTTTTAGCAGATGAATTGGTGTGGCCAGGCAAAATAGCCGAACAGTGCTTAGAATTCCTGTCTGACGGTGCGCATCCGAATCACACCAGTCTCATGTTGCACAACCATGACTGCCAGTGCATGTGACTGCATCAACACTTGAGCGACACTTGGCATTGCCGACAACCTGCTGACAGTCCTGTGTCAAAATTCCGTAGCCCTGCACGGAACCCTGAACGATACCGTGAGCTGACAACAACCTCAAACTCCAAACCGCAAGAAAATCATGCTGCTGTCGGTACATGCAAAGATTGTCACCTTTGAAGTGTCGCAAACTTTAGGGCCCAGCTTTGCACTGCCTTGCACATAGCCCGTCCTTGCGACAAAATTTGGATGCAAGCCCGTCAATATCGTCAGTTAAAAAGAAACAAGCTGGAAGCAGCAGGAAACCTCAAAAAAACTCTTTGAAACACCCGATGAGTCTTGTGGCCAGCGAGGCGGCGAAGCAGAACATCACAAAGCTGACAGTCAAAGAGACCCCTGGCGATTGGTTCAGATTCACATTTCAAAGGCCAAAAGGCATTGGGTGAGATTCGAAATTGGCAAACACATGGATCAAGAATTTCTGTACTGAGATGCACTAAGTGTCAAACAAGTTTGAGAAAAACCTCAATTTTTTGCGGGGTCAGATGTGGCCTTGGCTGAATGCCATACTGATGCCAAAGCGCATCGGTGTCTTGTCCTGAGTTCTGAGGATTCCCAGCGCTTGAGACTTTCTTCCCCACTTCCAGCCGGGCCACGGAAGTCGTGTACCACCTTGATGGGCCGTTCGGATTCCAAGAGTTGACGCAGGCCCAACCTTGGTCACAAGCTGCTAAGCTGTGTCTGGGGATGCCATGGATGCTATGGATGCTATGGATGCTACCGCCCCCCTTGTGCCATCTTCCGAATTTCAGCCGAGCGACTCAAAGGCACGCTCACCCAGTTCCAAAATGTCAACTGCAAAAGCTTCCCCATGCAGCGTTCCTATCCTGGCACACTGAAAATTACAGCCTTCTTGCTTTTCAGAAGATCTGTCTCAGCATCGAAAGCCGAAAATGCCAGGTCGCCACAGGAACAAGTCACTAACTTGCCAGCCGCACTGCAGCAAGCAAATCCTGCAACAGGATTTAAAACGAGTAGGTTTCAAGAGAAGGGCAACACAAAACAAGTGAACCGTAAAGCCTCAGCACATGGCAAATTTAAGACATTGACAGCAGCACCTCCCATGGTCCACTCGACCATACCTGCACTTTGCCATGCTCATGGTGTTCCAATTGGATGTGTCGGACGATCACGGGGGAACAAACTCCCAGATGCTTCAGATTGCGCGACTCCAAGACACCGGCTGACGCTCTTGGAGAAACCAGCAGCCTTTGGAAAGGTCTGCACCCTGCACACACGAAGCATAAACACGCTTGTTCAGCCCCGAAGTGACATGACGCAAAAATGAACGCATCTTCCAGTTCCAGTCTACAAATCTCCTAGTACATTTACATTTCTGGAGTTTCCATTCAGCTAAACCTTTTGCATCATGCAGCAGATGGACTTGACAAGCCTCGCAATCAATGGCCACAACCTGTTCGGAAGCCAGATGCTTCAAGACTCTGCAAAGCTCCTCGAAATCTGTGGCGATCCCTTGAAAAACTGCACAAAGCTTGCTCAACCCTTCTGTTGACAGTTCAGGACTTCAGGATTCAATTGACCAAAGGCATCGCAAGCAAATCAAGGTCTCTCCAGCACAGAAAAGAATTCTGATGTTTGGCAAACAGAGCAAGCAACTATGGTACTGGTAAACTGGAGAAGAACAAACAAGCGCTAAACTAGGGCAAACTCTGACGTGGCCCACAATTCACTGCAATTGAGAAACACAGCTATAGCAGCTACACGTCCATCCTCTTCCGTTGAGGCTACTTGGGGCAAAGTGGATGCCTGCAAGTTTGCACCAAATCCCCAAGGAAAAAAACTCGACAACGTCTGCACTGTGAAAACTCGAAATTTGATAACGATACGAGGACAGTGCCTGCGGGGCTGGCCTTGTCAACGTGGAAATGTTGTGCAAAAAAAGGTACTCACTGCACAGATTCATGGGGAAACAAGTAAACAAACGAAATCCAACCATGAATCACTCCTGTGGCACTCTTAGCCACAAACTTGCGAGTTGTGTCAAAAGCATATCCGCCAGGCACAAAAACAGTGGCATGCGGATTCATGGCGCAACAACACACTTTCAAATATGTTCTTATATGTTGTATTTCCACAAACAAAGCATTTGACTGAGGACTGAGGACTGCATTTTTTCGAGCGTGTGTGTGCGTGTGTTTACATATGTATATGATGTGTATATATAGACATATAAATGGTGACAGGCTGAGTTGGCAACTAATTCAGGCTGAGTCAGCAACTAAGGGTCGGCAACTAAGAAAGGGTGAGTCGGCATTTTGCAACTACAGGCAAGAACAGGCTGAGCGGGCCAACTAAGAAGGGTCTGATTTAGTAAGCAAGAAAAGGTTGAAGAGGCAAGTAAGTGTCGGCAACTTAGATGAATGTATGAGTGGCAAAAGAGGCAGGATTGAGGCTGCACCTAAGAAAGGGCTGAGCCAACAACTAAAATGCATAGATGAGTGGCAAAGAGAGGAAGGGATGAGTCGGAAACCAAGAAAGGATTCAATGGGTGGGAAGCGGGGCAAGATAGGGGAACAGCTGAGGTGGCAACAAAAAAAGGGCTGAGTCACCAAGTAAGAAAGGGCTGAATCGGCAACTTTGGAAGGGCTGAGTTGGCAACTAAGATGAATGGATGAGTGGTAAAGAGAGGAAGAAAGGAAGGGCTGAGTCGGCAAGCAGTGGAACGTTACACCCCACCCCACCCAAAGCACTATGTACCGTATGATTGCCCACCTCACTCCACCCCAACCCACCCCATAGTGCAACTGCCAGGGAATGCTATTGCCCCACCACTGACCTGTAGTTTGCTGCCTCGTAGTTACTGACTTCGGTGGTTGCTGACTCAGAAAGTTGCTGACTCGGGTAATTGCTGACTCAGGAACTTGCTGACTCGGGTAATTGCTGACTCGGGTAATTGCTGACTCGGGTAAATGCTGACTTGGGGAATTGCTGACTCGGGTAGTTGCTGACTCGGGAAGTTGGTGACTCAGGAAATTGCTGACTCGGGGATCGTTGCTGACCCAGGTAGTTGCTGACCCGGGTAGTTGCTGACTCGGGAAGTTTGCTGACTCCAGTAGTTGCTGGTTCGGGTAGTTGTTGATTCGGGTAGTTGCTGACTCAAGCAGGTGCTGTCATTGCTGACTCGCGTGTTGTAGTTGCTGACTCTTGGTTACTGACCCGCGCATCCTTAATTGCTGACTCGGTTAATTAATTGCTGTCCATGTTCATATATGAGTAAATACACACACACATTTGGAACAGCGGAACCTTCAGATTTGGCAACAATTTTTATGTTCACTGCTTTCCGGAATATAAGCCAAAATGGTGGTTTGTTCAATGTCTTCTGTCCCGTTTTCGCCAATCCAAACTCCAAACCAACAAATGTTGCCATTTCCAACGAAAAAATATGAAACTGAATGAATGCATGATGTACCATGTATAATGTGTATATAAATGTAAATACAAATATTGTTATATATATATGTAAATATTTATATATATATATTTATACATATTATTATTATTTTTTTAATAAAGAAAAAAAATAGAATAGAAAATAAATGCAAAAAAAATACAAAAAATAAATACAAAAAAACATATATATATATATATATATTTAAAATATACATGAAAATAGATATAAATATACATACATAAATACTATATATATATATTTAAAAAAAAAACAAAATAAATTTACACTATATATATATATTTATAAATACATATGCATAAATTTGTTTAAAAATCAATATATATATATACATGTGAATACAAGTATGTAATTAGAAAACAATAAATAAATAACTAAATAAATAAATATATATATACAGAAAGGTACGCTGTCAGGTCCCCATTTTTCCACGTTTCTGGAAATGCAGTGTTTTTGTTACATCATGTTCAATCCTTTACGTTCATATACCTGTGATGGTTTTGCTAGAGATCCACACAGATTGTCAGACTTCCTCAGGGGTTGCCAAAGAATGTCCAGAGAGTCATGAAGATTCCCAGGGGAAAGGAAGGAAGAAAAACAAACATAGTGTGTGTATATATATACATATACATATACATATACATATACATATACATATACATATACATGTTTCTGCGTTGATGAGATCCCCTTTCGCCACTTTTCCTGCACTCCCATTTTTTGCTCTTGCAAGAGGGGTCGATAGAGGTTGGTGAGTGCACGCATCCATGCGTGCTGCAAACGTCTTTCAAGGTGCCAGCCAGGGTATCAAAACCATGGATGGTCATCCAAAAAACATAGTCTGTCCAACTCCACCCACTGGAAGGTGGAGGGGTGGTGGTGGAGAAAACATCAACCACGCAGGCATTGTCAGTTCACTGTGGGAATATGCATCATGCGTTGGCGATTGCCAATGTAGGTGGCAATGGAGGATATGGCTGCACCAGTGATTGCTGATAGAAGGCGGGAAATAAATTGGATGGGAGCAGTTGTAAATTGCTCCAAATCCAGCGCATACGGCAAGGCTTGTCGCATGGTGTATTCAATCTGGTAGACGATTTCATCCAACAAACCTTCTAAAATCAGCAGTAAAAATCCAGTGAGTCTCCGTAAAGCCAGTCGCAGGATACGTACGAAAACCTTTGTACAAGCCGTGGCCAGCGTAGGTTTCAGTAAAAACATCAGCGCTACCCAAATGACAACAATCAAAACTGCTCTGTTCAGCGTCAGTGTGCGAAACATCTCCCAGAGAAAAGATTTGATGGTCCAGGGTTTTTTCTCTTCAGGTGAAGAAACGGTTCCATCCCGCAGCATGAGTGGTTTGCAGGGTAAAGGATCGACTCCTCCATCAAGTTCTCTGGCAGCTACCACAGCTTTCGCATACTTTTGCAGTTTTGGGTCACCTGGATATCTCTTTGAGGCTCTCACCAACTGGTCATGTGACAGGTCCTCAAAGGTGGATCCTTTAAAGGCCCCTCCAGCTATTACACGGCGACCGTGTCTAGCCCTCATAGAATGCATATCTGGCGCACCAGTCAGCATTAAACGAGCTTGAAGCACTTTCTGACACCTCAAACAGTCGCAGGTTTGCGACAAAGTCTTCAGGCACGACAAACTCCAAGCAAAGCGGGGCTATTCTTTTCGGCCGAGATATCACTGAAGACGAAAGCCTATTCATGATCTGTGTTGACATGGCCAGCTGAATGTAATGCTCCAGGGATTTTTCTACAATCCACCTGCCCATAAACCTAAGAGTACCAATGGGAATTCCATTTCCATAATACATGGTGGCTCCCCCTGGCCTCAGACTGGCCGGGGTGAAGTGGCAGTCCAAGATGCGCAGTTCTCTGCATATCTGTTTGAACATCCTGCTGAAGAGGGCACGACCTCCTTTCCACAGAGCGCAGTCATTTCGCTCCTTAACCACTTCTCGCAATCTCTGGACTGTACAAGGGTTCCTAACCAGCACAAACTGATCTACACCAAACTGCCTTTGGTTCTTAGGGTTGGCTACCCGAATAGCAGCAAAAGGTTGACTGAAAGTGAAGCTCCCTGGCAGGGAAATGTCCGTATGTTTCAACTTCAGCAACTCACCCGGCCTCAGCATGCAGAGAACCCCTATCTCCAGCAAGGTGGCAAAAACTCGCCATCTTTTCTGTTCCAGCATCGATTCATTCACAGAAGAGTGAGCTCTGGACAAGCCTATCATCAAAAGCCACAAGGGGATAGGTAAGGGTGGACGAAAAGAGCTCGTTCCCTGCTCCTCCGAGACTCGAAGGTTTTCCCAAGCTGTGTTGATCCTGCCCTGCAGTTTCAGACGTCTCAATCCGCCGCCTCATGTGCAAAAATTGGGCAGCACAGCAATCACGTCACAAACTTTGTGCGGACGATCATTCCACACACTTGATGCAGGAACCATCAAAATCGAGAAATCATGTCACACATCGGACAATCATTCTACAACGTAAAAAAACTACCTGCATGGCGAGCGAACTCAAACTAATTAAGATGCATGGTCATGCAAGAAACCCTAGAAGTGACTCAGTCTTTTCTGTTGGTGTGCAACGGCAAAATGCGGTTGGCTATGGTGGCATACTTGTGACATAAGGCCAGTGGGTAATGGCCAGCCAGTTCTGATCTACGTTTCCATCCATGTGGTGTACGAACCCCTCCTACTGCGTGTACATGTCTCGAGCGGCAATGGCAGAGTCTCGACAAGTCACGGAGACCTGGAAGATTACCTGCAAATCTGGTATGTTTTCTGCAGGGGCCTAGTAGCCCTTCATCATCTTTTAGTTTGAGGCCATATGCACATTGATGCATGAGTGCCTCTTCACAGGAGGGGCTACCCAGCTTATTTATTACTGATGGCATGGACCAAACATAAGACGAGGCAGGGTTCTCCTACGCTGTGCTTTGAGTGATCAATAGGGGGGAGAGTAGGATCGCGTCGCGTGATACGCGTAAACTGAACCAATCGCAAGACTCGACCAGAAACTCCAAACTAAATTTCACATCACATCAAAATGACATGCCACAGAAAATCACTGCAGTTGAAACGACATGTGTGTAAACTAACATCAACTGAAAAGGCTGAAGCAGAAACCTTCACACGCATTTTGGACACGTCGGTGGTGAAGCCTGCACTCTGTGTCTTCACGTTGTACCATTGTACAAACGCTGTAGTTGTGTGAGCCTTCACACAAAGTTTTCAGCAATCCACCAAGCTTCCAAGTCTGTAGAATTGAAACACCCAAGCTTTCAAGTTTGTAGGATTGAAACATCCCAGTCTGTTGTCGTTCAAGATGCCTCACCCCTGGGTGACAAATGCAGGCATCATCCCAAGGGTGGGCTGGGCGGGTACCCAAAAGTTTTCTCCAAGCCATCGCTCACGAAATATAAAATTCGTCATGAATCAAGTGCAAGTTGAAGACATCAAAACTGAATGTTTGACAAGCATTGACAGTCACAGTAAAATCCACAAGTCACCTCTGTTGAAGTCCAAGTACTGTAAAATTTCAACAAGCTCAAAAAGGCATCGAGAAAATGATTCCAGAGAAACTTTGCCACACTCTGCAAATTGAAAACTGGAATTTGTTTGTTGAGGTTGTTGTTCGGCAACGGAGTTAACCCAGCGACGAAGCAGTATCCAAGCAAAGCACCCACAACGAATCCCACCCACCCGCCCTGATACCCAAAGCGCCGCATAGACCCACAGGGCAAGCCCAGTGAAGCCTACGCTGTGCTTTGAGTAATCAATAGGGGGGAGAGTAGGATCGCGTCGCGTGATACGCGTAAACTGAACCAATCGCAAGACTCGACCAGAAACTCCAAACTAAATTTCACATCACATCAAAATGACATGCCACAGAAAATCACTGCAGTTGAAACGACATGTGTGTAAACTAACATCAACTGAAAAGGCTGAAGCAGAAACCTTCACATGCATTTTGGACACGTCGGTGGTGAAGCCTGCACTCTGTGTCTTCACGTTGTACCATTGTACAAACGCTGTAGTTGTGTGAGCCTTCACACAAAGTTTTCAGCAATCCACCAAGCTTCCAAGTCTGTAGAATTGAAACACCCACCGCAGCGAAAGACGAAAAGGAAGATTGGACATTTACCAAGGTGTCTTATCGACTCTCTTCCTCTTCTTTTCTGGTTCCTTCGGAATCGATGTTTTCGCCAACAAACGTGCCTCATCAAAATCTGCCTTGACCTGCCAATATTCAACATGTAGCCTTTTCTCCATGTCCAGTTGTGTGAAAACAGAGTTAGTGATATCATCTGCAACCGTGTTCTCTTCACGGGGTCTCCATTTCAGCTTGACCACCGTCCTCGATCGTGCAAGAAGCGATGAAAGTTGCATGTTCACCAACATCAACGGCCACTTCGTGGTCGACCGCTTCTGAGATAAATATTCATTTGCTCTGTTGTCCGTACCTGCTGTCAAATGTAACTCAAGCTCCTTCCTAGAACGGGCATCTCCCGACCATCCAAACACAACTAATGCTGCAAGTGTCGCCAATAACTCGGCCGAAGTTGAGGCCCACTGTGACCCCTTCCCATGTGAAAATAAATATGGCACGTCGGACTCCGACAGAATAAGCTGGAACCATCGACCAGTTGATATTTCCCATCCACCAAGGACAACTGAAGTATCAGTGCACTTTGCATCTGTCCTGAATTGCTCACCTGTGAACGTGGCCGGCCTCTTCGCTGAGACCATGTAAGTTTCAGATCTGAACTCAGTCAGCAAATATGTCATTGTCAAGATCACCGCATCCGGAAGCTTCGCAACTGTGCTGCCGGATGTGGCTGATGCCCAAGCATACAATGGCGATAAATGCGGCTTCAGCCACACCAGTAACTGAGAGACGAATCCAAGCCGGCCAAGAAATTCAGAGAATTCACGAGTCACAACCACAAACCTCTTTTCCGCAGCGGTGTTGATCCATTTCACAAGCCAATCGCCCCTTCGTAAAGAAATCCCTACCTCATTGAGGTCATATCTCAGTTGGTATCCAACAAATTCAGAGGAGAACCCGCCACGAAACTTGTGATAGGCAAACGGCGTGCCAACCAGTTCAAAGGCCAAAATCCAAACCCACAAGTTCGTAAATTTCTCCCTGCCGACAAATGATCCGTGTAAATCGTCAACATAAACCAGATGAAGAAACCAAGCGTTCATCATGAGATGCCCTACAAATCGTCCAACCATTGCAAAGAGTTTCGCCCACCAGTAGGGCGCGCTTGAGATGCCAAAAGTTCCAACCCTGTTAACCCACACTGTAGGTGAGTCAGTGTTTGCTTTGCAACACATGTATGGCCAATCACAACGACGCACCTTCACAAGTCTGTGTGCCGCTTTAATGTCTGCCGACACACAAAAGGGAGCTTCCAAGGTTTCAACAGATTCCCTCACCACTGCCGCAACTTCAGCAGGTCCAGGGCATTGTATCTGATCTCTGTAAACAATGCGATTGTTAACTTGAACTGAATGTGTACCATCATGTAGTGGCCTGACGGTGCCGTCAGGCTTGGCAATCGCAGCCATGGCAGCAATCCTGATACGCTCTTCACCAAACTCCTGCTTCAACGTAGAAAACCTGGTCGGGTACATGCGCCCCAATGCCTCCTCTTCTCTGAACTTGGCTTCCAACTCAGTGGATGAGACCTGAGCTGATTGATAGTTGTTTGCAATGGGATTGAACTCGGAGTCATCAAGTTTTCTATGCTTCACTTTCTCAGGGTATACCTGAGGTGTCCGTGGCAGTGGTGCATCAACACCCAATGGTACCCCGGTCGCAAAACTATCCTCTATGTCCACCAGAGTTGGGGCGTCTGGATCTCCAAACACTGTGAGCCATTGTGACAGCCCCCTAAGCAAAAACGGTTGTCCCTCATCAACAATAAGTGCATCTGCTGGATCAGACAAAAGGGAAGCCCACCTCTTTCTCAATGCTGTAAGCTCTCCAACTGAAAACGGTGAGGATTCAAACTTTCCAGTAACCAATCTGAACGCTGCTGCCCTGACATCAGGAATGCATCTGTGAACCATATCCTGCAGCAAAACAAAAGTCTCTGACGCCAACTTTCTCATTGTGTCCGACCTCCTCACACCTCTTGCAAGAGGTGGCCATCTCGTGGGTGAGCAAAGACCAAACCCATCCACAAACTCACGAGAGCGGCCATCCCATTCAACACTAATAGGGCGGCCCCTATTCAAGCATGCTTCCATATCGAAGCCCTGTGTGTCATGTACCACGTCATCATCGTTTTCAGCACATGCATGGTTCTGAGCCTCTCCTGGGGCCGTATCTGTTGTTGGCGCAGCTGTATCCCTGCAAAACGCCGCTGTGTGAGAAGGCATAGCACTTGACTCAAGTGGTGCCGCTGCTGACTCAGTTGACTCAACGTTGGAGGCTGTTTTGTGAGAAGGGGCAATACTTGACTCAAGTGGGGCTCCAGCCCCACTTGACTCAAGTGAAGCCAATTGCTTGCCATTCTTTGCACCCCCTCCGGAGGTTGCGACAGCACCAAAAATGGCATCTGCAATAAATTTGCACATACCTGGAGGGTATGCTGCACTTGGACTTGTATTCCAACGGTTTCCAGTCTTTCCCATAAGTTTGTACGTGTGTCTGTGGCCGCATTTTTGTGGAAGTGGACCCAAATACCTGTTAGTCTTGTCAAACTTTGGAAACCCCAAGTAGCACCTGCGGTCTTGAACCTGAAAATTACACATCAGTCGTGTAGGCTTGGATGTCAATGCGCCAAATTGGCACTGATGAATTGCTATTGTGATACCGTGGCACCATGCAAGTAAATTGTGGATCTCCTCCCATTGCCATATGGAGCCTGGGACCTCACCGTCAACGATCCCTAAATCTTCAGGGTGCTCAAGCAAAAACCATCCGTCATGCTGTACAACTACATAGCAAGCATTAATGCACTGCAAGACAAACTCATTGGCCTCGTTGACGATTTTCGCATTAACATTTGAAAGCCATGGGAATCCCTTAGGCCATGTGCGACTTCTGAGTGGCCTTGGGCCAGGATACCGTCGCCATTGAAATCGTGCACGTGAAAAGGTGTTGCGCGGAGGACTGACGATCAAAAACCATCCTCCCTCCTTGAGTGTCTCACATATCTGGTCCCACAGCTCTTTGCTTCGCAAATCATGTGTCTCAGAACGTTCGATGTCAAATTCCTGCAACTGCCATCGAATCTTTCCAGCTTCCTCCAGCTTTTTCAAGAAAGTGCTGACATCCGATTGCCGCCGCTTCCCAGCAAACAAATAGAGAACCTTTACCAGCACTGGCTGTGCCGGTGGCCCGTTTGGCACGCCACCCCGGCTGGGATGGGTTGGCTGCCCATCATGTCACGAGCCAACAACTTCTTTGTGTTTGATGGCGGGATGGTCGCCATAACAGCCCTTGACCCGGCACTGATGAACTCGATCACATTTGCCATTGCAAGTGCCTGTATTGTAACCAAAGCACAACTCACGATTGTCTGGTGTCCTCCATGCCAGCTGCAAACCAACTAGCTCTTTACGGATCTCCTTTCCCTTGCCTTTTGAGCCTTTGCCCTTTCCCTTTTGTGGTTGAAATTTTCCGCCACCCTTGCTGTTGAACCTTTGAAACTTGTTCTGCTGAAAGCCCTCGGAGTGCTGTGACATGGAAGCGCGTAACGCAACAGGGGTGGTGAAAAACGTCTCCTTGAGCTCCGGGTCATGGATCACCCGGTGCAAAGCATCGGCAAGTGAGATACCATCTCTGACAATCATCTTGCAAGCCTCTTTACGCAACCTGTGCTCAAAGCTCAACACGATAGACCAATCGGGCTTGACTCTCTGACTGCCCTCACCATGAAGTGAAGGGACTTGGATGTTGTAAACCTTCTCACCCAAGATGAAGTCAACGAACTTGTTGAATGGGGCAGCTGTCAAACCATGCAACCAGGATTTTGATTTGTACCTGGCTGCCATGCACAACCATGCATTCATCTCGACTCGCATCACTCTGCGATACTCTTCCGTGGTCGCCGGAAGCTTCGATTTCACCTTGGTCTTTGTGATCCTGATATGTCCTGATGAATCCAAGCCAGTCTGAAGCTCTGCCGTTTGTGAGTCACGCTTGCTGGTTACTTCGTCCAACGACGAAGCCTGTGGCTCATTTGTTTCTGTCTCTTCGGCCTTGACTGAAAGATACTCAGCAGAAGGGGCTTCTGCCTCTTGTAATGGCCCATAGACCAACTCCACTGCTTTCAACATTGCCTGCCTCTCGTGGACCTGCAAGGCCCGTGGCTGGCCAAGAACCTTTGCCTCCACCTCCTTCGAGATGTATTCCTGGGCAACCTCCCAGGCTGAAACCACTGCAGCTGTCTCTGCCCTGCTCTCTGGCGTATCCTGTGGAATCGCAAAGTCATTCAAACAGGCCCTACGCACGTCTGCACGTGTGTCACCAACTGCCCTAAATTTCCTCATGTTGCCATACCTCCTAGCAATGGCAACCTGTCCCTCCAAAGAGACGCCAGAATCTGCCAAAACAAATTGTAAATCTGAATCCATATGCGCAGCAACATATTCCTTGTGTTGTGCTTCGTCCATGGCAACCCACGCTGGCGGTCTAAACCCTGTGCCAACGCGTGCAAACTATTGAAATACAAGACATCGTTTCATGAGAACACCCATGGACAAAATCTCACAAAGGAGGATCAAGAAACGCATTGGAAAAACAACGAATCCAAGCGCTTAAAGTGGAGAGGTTCAAAATGGATAGCATCAGAAAATAAACTTCAACCAGAAAGTGACAAATAGAATTTGAATGAGTTTCAATGCCAATGTCTTGACAACGGCCTGAGCCCTTGGTTGTCTTCGCAACGTCTAAACGCATAATCCGGCTGCCACAACTGCTGAATAACCCTGACATCAATGTATTTGAAACTCAGTCAAATCGCCAACACACGCAAATCACAAGCACATGAAACACAAATTAAAACTCTCCAACAGTGTGAAATCCAATCGAGTTCAGACAGGTGAAAAGCTTTGGTCCCAATGCACAATCAAAACAACAGCAAACAAATCAACACAAGTGGTCTAAACAACTCCCAAAATCCATGTGAACAGGGTCACACATGGATGCGCTCACTTTCCCTGGGAAGTGAGCGCATCCTTTTTTCGGCACCGTTGTTTAGATTCAGGAAATAAAGAGTTATCACCACGTTGGGTGAAAAACCTCTTAAGCTCTTCAGCGCCTGACGTTTAGTCTCCGGCCTGTTCCCCTTCAGGGCTATCGTCACCGTCAGTGGACGATGAGGAAGCAGTCGAACTTGACTCCTCAGGAGTGTCCTTACCCGCTTCCTGCAGCATACGCTTTTTGCATGCACGACAAATAGAATCGAACTCTTCGGAAGTAACTGTGTTACACAATCTGACTTCACAGCAATTGTCTGGTTTTACAAAGCACCCAACCAAATGCAGCCGTCTGTGTCCAGCCCTCCGGGACACTGTGATGAAGAACTTGTGAGACTCCTTGGATTGCAAGTGTTTCGCATTCTCTGTGACCTGTGCCTGAACTGCCATTTCAAGCTCAGCGTTCTCAACCGCTGCACCATCATCAATATCAACCCAGTCATCATCTCTCACTTCCAAAGTGGGGTATTGCATACCCAAACAAGTGCGGCCTGTGATGGGCATCATGACACTGTGCCTCTTTTTGATCCTCATTGGATTGGCTCCACTGTTCTCTGCCGTTTGACAGAGGCTTGTAATGGCTTCGTCCTCAAAGTACTCTTCCTCATGACCCTCAACAATTGAGCGGTTGACTGCACGTTGAATTTTGTAAACAACCTGTCTGGCTGTCCTGACATACTCCTCTGATGATGTCATGCCAATTGCCCAACGTCCCAAGTATGCACGCATGTCTTTGCTGAATCCTATGAGTGCAGCCACTGATGTCAGAAAGTTCCGTGGGCTATGTCCAGAAAAATGCATTTCCAAACCGTCAGGAAGAAGCAAAGAAGATCCCATCAGCTCCCAGTAAGCCTGCCTCCTGAGAGGGACCCTCAACGTGCTCAGCAGCTTCCGTATCATCGAACTCAAGTCAGAGGGCGTTGCAAATTTACGCCTAACAGACTGCCAATCATGCCGTGGTTCCATCACCAGGTAATCACGCCTGTATGAAAACATTTCTGATTCCCAGAGCCTGTAGCCAATGCCAAGCCAATCAACTCCAGTCAGTGAAATGGTACGATACACAAACCCTGCAATCTCCTTCTGCGGTTTGTCTGGCCCTGTCGTTTTCGTTTTACCCATGACCACCTTCAAGCCAAAGTTCGTGAGAATGGTTCTGTGGGGTAAAATTGACTGCACATCATCGCAACGCAATGCAGCCCAAACCATGACCAAAACCACCCATGAAAGTGCTCGTGCAAACACCGGTTGTGACTCATCTTCAATTGTAAGTTCCAATGAAAGCAACATCGCAACTGTATACATCTCTGCTGGACGTCTGGGTGGACTCAGCTGAGAGCTCAGCCGTCCACGACTTCACATGGCCGACCCAAAGGGGGTCCTTGGAGATCTGCTGGTCCTCCGGCACACGTCCCAGCACCTCCAACATGTTCAAAACAATGGCAAAAGACTCAGGTACTGTCTTACCACAACCATCGTCTACTCGAAACTGTAAATAGTCGATGACGTCCTTGCATGACAATGGAAAAAGTCTCCCACGATGCAGCTCCAACCAAGTCTCAAAAGGTTTCCAACTCTTGTATCTGTTTTTCAATGTATTTGCACTTCTCGCTGCAAAGAGATGGATCCATGCACTCTCCGGATCATCTAAGGTCTCAACCAGTTTAACCACAGGCAGCTCAGCATTCTTGATGACACCCGCCAAAAGGAAAGAATACTTGCGACGCTCTGCATCAAATTTCTTAGCCCTAGCATCATGAGGTTCATCCTTGTACTTACGCTGTTTCTTCTTTGATGCCAATTCCAAAACTGTGACAGAGCTGGACTGAGTGATGGACATGAACGAAGTCTGCAAGTCAGCTGAACTCCCAGGTGGCAATCTGTAAAGGCCATCTGAAACTGTTTGTGACCGTAACCGTTTGAAGGCAGGGACATTGTTACTTTGCCAAACCATCATTGCAGCAGTTAAGTTCCGGACAGCTTCATCAACCATGTCAGGAAACAATGCTTTGACAAGTGAAGTGCAATCTGCATCATCATCAAATGCTGCTTGTAAACTCAACGGAGTCCTAAACAGCCTCTGAAAAACTAGCAATGTGACAGGGTCCACACTAGGCCAGTCGCCCTCCATTGCATCCGTACAAGAACTGCCGCGTCCAATCTGTATTGGATGGTGAAACGTCCCTACCCACCCAAAAGTTTTCTCCAAGCCATCGCTCACGAAATATAAAATTCGTCATGAATCAAGTGCAAGTTGAAGACATCAAAACTGAATGTTTGACAAGCATTGACAGTCACAGTAAAATCCACAAGTCACCTCTGTTGAAGTCCAAGTACTGTAAAATTTCAACAAGCTCAAAAAGGCATCGAGAAAATGATTCCAGAGAAACTTTGCAACACTCTGCAAATTGAAAACTGGAATTTGTTTGTTGAGGTTGTTGTTCGGCAACGGAGTTAACCCAGCGACGAAGCAGTATCCAAGCAAAGCACCCACAACGAATCCCACCCACCCGCCCTGATACCCAAAGCGCCGCATAGACCCACAGGGCAAGCCCAGTGAAGCAAGTGTCCAAAAGTTACCTGCCCTTTCAAGTGTTTTTATCAAAACCATAGTACGTCTAAGCAGCTCATTTCCTAGTATCTCACGTGGCAAAGAACCATCACCTTGAGGCATGTCTTTACGGCGGGTACCCCCATTGGAATGTTGGAGGATCGAAAACGAACAGCACGGAAGACCGAAGTGCCAGGTTTGTCTAGGCTGGGCAGCGTCCAACACAAGTTGTTCAAAGACCCTATCATCCATAATATCAAAAGACATCTTGTGATGTGAGTTAGGTCTTAGTTCAACAGGAGGTCCAGTCTCAAACCTTTTTGTTCTTTTAAACACCTCGGTTAATCTAGCTTTTCCCGCAAAGATCTCCTTAAATGTCCAAGGAGGTGTTGGCTCGTTCTCAGGCTGGCCATTGCCGCGGTTTGCATTTTCATCCACAGTGTGTGTGTCAATAGCCTGGGTTGGCTGAGGCAAAGTGGAAAAAGAACTCTCCCATGGTGGGTCTCCTCCAAGTTTTCGAGCCTCCTGCTCTAGAAGCACTTGATGGCCCGGCGACCTCTCCGTCTGAATCCTTCTCAAAGTTACCGCATCAAGCAATCCATCAGACTGGGAAACGTCAGGTGCAGGAATGGGCTTAAACCTTGATGGATAGTCGGCTGGATTGCTGTGAGTGTCCACCCATAAATTGGATACCTGGAGGTTGCCAGTCAAAAGCCAAGGGAGGCAGCTGCGCAAGCCATGATTCATATTTTTGGAGCTACTACGCCCTTTAGCAAAGGCTCCAACAACAACACGGCTATCACAGAGGTTCACCACGCGACAGGCGGCATTGCCTGAATTGACCCTATCTCTAATTTCAGCCTTGAGCATCTCCAGCTCTAGCAGATTAATATGATCCTTTTTGGCAAACCGCCGGGATTCAGTGGCAACCCATCTGTGCTTTTGCAAACTACTAACCAACGACTCCGGCGCTGGTCGCATGGTGGTTTCTGGTGGGAGTGGCATGTCTTCCCAATCTAAACGAGTGTGCTCTCCACGAGCTTCACAAAACCTGTAGAGCATTTTTGAAAACACTTTCGTGGTTAAAGTAGACGCTCTACCACCACCACCCAAACTGGCATCCGTGGCAGAGAGGCGTGTAGACACAGGGAGTCTAACATTTGCCGACGCAAGGGGAAGCAACAAGACAGCTGTGAGAAGCTCATCGCAAACATATTGGGGGATTTTTCGGGAAACACCCTCTGGTAAGCTGTCAATGAATAAGTATGTATGGTGAAAGATACTCATGCACTCACGCCTATGCATAAAGGGGCGAACATAAAGTCCCAAAAGTTTTTGCAGGGCTTTTTTACTGGCATGTTTTTGAGAAATCAAACGCAGAGTGAGTTCTTCTACCTGTCTGAGTTTTTGCAACGGTGTGCCCACTCTGCCTGAACTTGAGTCTACTTGTGTTCCCCAAGCCTTGAAACAATACTCCTTGTCAAACGCTTTTTTAATGGACCGTGGTAGTCCAAGCTCTGCATATCGCTTGCGCGATCCCTGCACCAAAGACTCATCTTCGTACGGGGTTCTGTCCCGAATAGGCTTTTTATCCACTATTTGGAAAACCAGGTGATCGTCAATATACAGTCCTTCCAAGGTGTTAGATGGGGGGAACAAATGGCCATAGATTAGAGTTTTATCCGGTTGGAGGCATCCCGCTGCTTTCAAAACTCCTTCGTGGGTTGCTTGGGCAATATCCACACCATTAGTATTAGTGTCTCCCATACAAACGACTTTGAATGCAGGGTAATAACTGACTTTTGGGTCCAGGCCCAGATCAACTAGCTTAGCACCTTTGATAGCACGACCAAAACAGTTTCGAGGTAACCATTCGTCCAAGTGCTTGATAAGGTAAAAATAGTTGGACAAGTCATCACCCGAAGCCCTGATGCTCTGATGGTCCTCCAAAATTAGCTGGCAAAGCATCACTCCACTAGGCAACTCACACCATCCAAGCCTACGCTCTCTTAGGTTCAGTGGTCGCCTGTCATTGATCAGACGGTCAGATTCTGCCTTGTGGGGGACGCAAAACAAACCACCTTTTATGACATGTCCATTTTCATACAGAGCATCATGTTCCGGGACAAAGCCGATCATTCCGGACTTGTGCAGTTTGCGCAGCAAATTTGGCCAGTCTTTCGGATCTACTTTGTGGCATGCACGGCAGCCGCCCGGCGGTGTACCTGGAATTGGCACCAGGTCTGGCATGGATTCAAATTCCTTGGCACGCTTGGGAGACAGGTGCATTCTGGGGTCAGGATTCCTGCTACGTCCGGAACAGAGACCCTATCTGGCTTCACTGGCAAGGCACCACACATAGCTTCATCTAGATTCACTTCAGGGTTATATTGTGAAAAACGAATTCTACTGATTAATTCATCAAGTTTGGCCGAACCCCTATCCAAGGTCCCCCTCCTAGGCTGGGTTACGAAACAACAAACCTTTTTAAACATTGTTCTAGCATAGCTTTCGTGGAGGGCAGTCCACACCCCTAGCGATGCACGAGAAACGGCTGCGCTTGCGGCATTCTTACGGCAAGGAGAACCTGCTTCAAGAAAATTGAACAAGCACCAAAGTAAGCGCATCCATTCCAGAGCCTCCCACTTGTCGGCAGATTGGAGGCCTCGCCCATGCTTAGACTTACCCGCGGGTTTCTTCCATGGTAGCATAGACGGGAACAATGTGGTGGTCCCAGTAGGTTCACTGGGTGTACATACCCCTGTCTCAACAGACCTATAGATCCTAGCAAATCTGGCAAAGGACCCATGACCATTCTTAATTAAATCAAAAAGGCGGCTCCTATCTGCTGACACTCCCGCTTCTGGGGAGTGAGGAGCCTTGGCACAAGGAGGTTTTGCGGCGGCGGTCTCAGCAACTCTCACATGGCGGTCTCCTCCGCCTGCTTCTTCGGGTTCTGTTTTCCCTTTTTTCCTTTTCCTCCGCCTTCTTCTTGATCGCCTTTCCCGAGGCCCTTTGCCCTCTTTTCCAGCTTCTGCAACGCATTGAGATATCCAGCAACTCTCTCCAGGTCCTGCGGCTCCCCCCCAAACTTCGGTGTCTCGATGCGGTCCGCATACCTCAGAAGCAGCCAGCTCGCTCTCCAAGATCCACGATCCAGGTTGGTCTGGTGCACCGCCCGGAGCAATTGCACCAACTCCAATGCCGCTTGCTCTGGCTGGTTTTTCAGAAGCGTCTGCAAAATCTCGGACAAAGCAAAATGGACCCGAAGCAACGTCCTCTGATTGCCCCAATTCAGTTTGCGGGTGAAGTCCGACAAATTGTATGCCGTCTCGGCACTGGCTCCCAGATGGTACTCGACCTCTTTGATGTAGCGGCGGACATGTTTCATAGGATTCTTTCGCATGGCTTTGTGGCCTCGCCGATATTCTTTCATAGCCCGGCTCGCACCACCTCACTTTCCCGTGCTGCTGCTCGAATCCAGGCTGCTGGCATCGCTGTCTTCCTGCTCGTCGGGCGCCAAAACACTTGAACTGCTCTTCTTTCCCGACTTCCCTCTGAGAACTTTTAACAACTCCATTGACACCATGGCATTCAGACTTTGACTTGCAAGCTCCGGTTGGGCTGAGTTGATGGACTGCTGCAATAAAGTCTCGATGCCATTGGAAGAAGCCAACTTTTCGTTGCTTTTTCCCGCTGTCAGAAGGGCATAGCGACTGCTTTTCTTCAAATTGCCTGACTTGGGCTTTTCGGAACTTGTAGCCCCACCTGGAGCGGCCTTCTTCGCCTTGCGGAGCAGTTGCATGATCTCGTCTGCGCTCCCGTCCTCCTCGTCGGGATCCTCTTCCGATGAATCCTCCACAAGGGCTTGCGGCGTTATCCCTGCAGAAGCCTGGGCCCCCGCAGAAATATCCTCTGAAGCTGTAGCATAGTTCAGATCGTCCTGCTGCAAGGCCACCAGGCCGGCTGCCTTCACCGAGCCGGCTGCCACTTCCAAGCCTCTCATGGCATGGCTGCACTGCTCCCTCATCTGGGACTGCTGTCCCTGTACCAGCATGAAGTGGCATCCTTCACACTCGTAATGGGAAAAAAGTCTGGCAGCCTCCTCGTCGATCTCACCTGACGTCACTCGCACTGCCAGAACAAAGAATCTACCCTTTTCTGCCAGGACCACTGCTTGTCGCCCAGGCGGCTTGAAATGATCCAGCTTGATAAAAACCAGTTGACCAGCCGTCACGACCATCGAATGATGCGCTCGGCAAGCTCTGGGTCCACCTGATGGATAGCAGCCTCAGATCCAAACAGGGCCTGAGCAGCAGCTCGGCTATCAGCTCTTTGGGAACGAATGCTACTAAACTAAACTCGTTCCTGTTTGCCTCAAGAATCCGCCTGTAAGCCAACGGCCCCCCACTGGTGTGGATGCCAATGACCGGCAGTCCCCCTTCTGGTTGATTGGGAACTTGCCAGACAGCGTACCAGCGGATGTCGGTCTCCGCTGAACCCCCAGAGACACTCTCCGATTCACTGCACGAAGATTCACTGGCAGCAGGATTCACTTCAGGTTCAGGTTCTACCACACCAGGGTCTAAACTAAGATCCCTCACCCCCTGTAGCAAAGCAGCTATGTGAGGGTCGGTAAGATCTGGAGCTAGCACCGCCCAAGCGTCTGCCTCAGCCAGGAGATCTAAGTCCTCAGGGTCCTGAGGATCCACAATGGCGTACGGAACAGGGACCTGAGGGCTATGGCTCATACCCCCTTGAACCTCATGGCCACATCGAAACATCCAGTATATATACATATACATATACGTATACGTATACATATACATATACATATACATGTACATATACATATACATGTACATATACATATACATATACATATACGTATACGTGTGCATATACATATACATATACATATACATATACATATACATATGCATATGCATATACATATGCATTTACATATACATATACATATACGTATACATATACATATACATATACTGTATACGTATACTGTATACGTATACATATACGTATACATATACATATACATATCCATATGCATATGCAAATACATATACATATACATATACACATACACATACACATACACATACACATACATATGCATATGCATATGCATATACGTATACGTATACGTATACGTATACGTATACATATACATATACGTATACGTATACGTATACATATACATATACATATACATATACATACACATACACATACACATACACATACACATACACATATACATATACATATACACAAATATTTATGTTTCCCTTAGGGGGAGAGGTGGGTGATCAACAAGCGTGGTTTGTAAGTCGCCGTTTCGCGGGTCATAACATCTTTGAGTGTGTTATAACTTATAACTTTGGTTATTGAGCATGTCATGGATGAAAAGGTATATTCTAATTGGTGGAGGTTTGAATTCCATCGTCATACCTATATCAAATCTTATAAACCAGGCCCTGCGGAAGCCGACCATGATAGATTGGTTGTAGGAAAAATATCCCTCTTGACCAGAGTCCGACTCTTGTTTTTTGTTGTTGCGGTTTTTGTTTTTGTAAGGCAAGGACGAGAACTTGCAGTGTATCATCCAACATGTCTGAAGGTTGGGGACAAGACCTGACAGCGTAGCACCCAAGATGATTGAAAGTTAAGGACAGGTCTTACAGCGTGTTATCCAAGAGGGTTGAAAGCAAGTTAAAGACAAGGTCTTACACCGTACAATCGACAATGATGAAAGTTAAGGACAAGGCCTTGCAGCATAGCATCAAACATGTTTGAAAGTTAAGGACAGAATCTCGCACCGTAACATCCAAGATGCTGGAAAGTTAAGGAGAGGATCTTGCAAAGTAGCATCAAGCATGTTTAGAACTTAAGGACAAGACCTGACACCGCAGCATCAAAGGTGTTTGAAGATTAAGGGCAAGGTCTTACAGGGTGGCATCCCAGATTCAAGATGTTAGGCGACCCGATGGCTCAGTTGGTATGGCGTTGGTCTTGCCAGCGCTGACAGACTGCCGGTGGTGGTTCGAATCCCTGCTGGTCCACTCGGGAGTCTCAAGTGCGACCCGCCGAAAGGCAACGGGCGCCGACCACAAAAACATCCCAGATTCAAGATGTTTGTAATTCAAGGAGAAGATTTTAGAGCATATCATCCAAGATGTTCAAAGTTAAGGACAAGCGCTTCGAGCGTAGCGTCCAAGATGATTGAATGTCAAGGGCACGATCTTACACCGTAACACTCAAGATGATTGAATGTAAAGGATAAAGTCTTACTCCATAGCAACCAAAATCATACAAGATGATTGAAAGTTCAGTACAAGATCTTCTTGGGTGGCATCCAGATCTTCCAAGAACTTTTTTTCCGTCCAACGCCTTATGGCTTCCGCCAGGTCGTTCAACATGTTTCAAAGCATGTTGCATTTGGGATTAATTGATTCATTAAGTCACGCACAGGCCGATGCAGTAGTGGCCGCAAAAGTAAACTGGTGGAGGACCGATACAAAGTCCTATGTACTGTCACGTTCATCACAAAACAAAAAACAAAGCACCAGGAAACAAAACAACCATCCAGATCTTCCAAGAACTTGTTATTATTTCTCTTGTTCTCGTTTTCGTTCGTGTTCTTGTTGTTAATGTTGTTATCGCTGTTCTTGCTCATGTTGTTTAACTATTGTGTTTTGTTATTATTATTTTTGTTCTTGTTGTTGCTGCTGCTGTTGTTGTTGTTGCTGATGTTGTGGTTCTTGTTTCTAATCTTGTGGTTATGGTTCTTTCTCTTGTTCTGGTTCTTGTTCTTGTTCGTCAAGGACAAGAAACTTACAGCGTATCATCCAAAAAAAAATAAAAATAAAAATAAAAATAAAAAATAAAGGGGTAGGGGGATGGGGTCCCCAATACCATGTCAGTAACAGGGGGAGGTGGACCCGAGAGGGTCCGGGGGGACGTTAAACTGGTTTTATAGCGCAGGGGAGTTGCTGAAGGCCCCCGTCCCTAACGAACCGTGAACTAACACGGTACCTTGGTACCCCCTAGTCGGCGTGTGTTGACATGTTGGGTTGCTCCTCATGTCACACCCTCGTTTGTGTTTGCGCACATCCTTGGGTGATCGTGCGGTATCTCGGGGTTCTCCCGGACCGATCGGTACACACGTGGTACGGGACCGAAGGGTCTCACCTTACCTTGTGTCTAGGGTAGCTACACCCAATGATGACACGGGGGAACAGGCAAGGTCGGTGAACCTCTTAGAGACT